TAGTTCTTCTGCTTTACTCTTAGGACATATGGAGAAGATGGTACGTTCAAACCTCTGGCTCATGGTACTCATTTAGAAACTCCTTTTGCTGATTTAAAGAAGAGCATTGAAAAATGCTCAAGTGGAATAAGGCAAATGTAGGCCTTGACAAGAAAGCTAATGCTTAGAGTTTGGAGCTCAGGTAGAGAAAAGTAATGCAGGAATAAATTCAGGTGATCTTAAGTCCCACTGGAAATGTGGAAGATCCCAGATATTTTGGACTGTTGGGGCCCAAGTGTGTTAGCAGTGTAGATACAGAGAAAAGACAGCAGTGTTGTCTTACTTGAGTTTATATTAAGGCTACCTTAGCAGTACTGATTAAGTATTTTTTAGCAAAAAGAAAATATGGCAGCACTCAGTCACTTTTATAAAGTCTTAGTTTGCAGTGTAGTTAAAAGCAGCCTCATCTGCTTGTTGTCTCTTACTTCCACCCAATTCCCCAACCCTCTCTGAAAACAAACATAGGCTGTGATGAGGCTACTCTGTCGTAGCTGATCACTGGTTAAATAAGGCCTGTACTGATGACAGGCTTAAGATGTCTCTTAACATCACTCATGTGAAATAGATCTAATGTCACTGGCCTTAAAATTGCAGCTATGAAAGCTACCAAAGGTGGAATGGGCTTTGCAGTTCTGCACAGGCTTGGTGCAGGTGCCAGTGGCTGTTGCAGTCCTACCAGGTCGTGAGGCCACCTCAGCTCTTCCTACTTCAAGGCACTCCAGCCCAGGGGGACACTAGATCTGAAAATGCACCTCTGGAAGTTGAGCTTTGACCTGCTGGAGTTGCATAGTGAAAGTCAGAAGAGCAGTACAGAGAAGTAGAGCACCATGCTGGCAAGAAGAGCATGTTTTCCCCCTAACCAAGACGTAGGTAAGAACACTGCATGGAGGTATTTCAGATAGATAGAAAACGCAACAAAACTGTCAGAACTTCTAAAGAGGTTTATCCTTTTTACACTGTGGCTTGAATATATTATTTAAATATATTTACTGAGTGTAAATATATTAGAACACTTTGTATTCACAAAGTAGAGGGTATGTGGAATTCATTGTGAACAGACAAGACGTCTAATAACTGAATGCTGCGTGTCTAGTATGACAAATCTTGTATGGATTTTTAATAGACTTCTTATTTGGCTTACAGGGATTCACTTCAATAACGTTACATGTTCATCTCAGTAAATGCATCTCTGATTTGTTACTGTAACTATGGCAACTTTCTCCTTTTTTAACTGTATGTATAGATGTAACTTTTAAAACTAATATTTTAAGGGGAAGTTGGGGGTTGTTTTTTTTAATATAGTAATGAAGTGTGTTTTTAAAAATGTCCTAGATATGCCATAAAATAAATTAAAGTTGAATGACCTGCCAAATGAGTACTCCAGCTCATGTTCACTTTTGTTAAGGACCTGCTTTGTGTTTTAGTGACTGTCTCGTGCTGGGAGAATGCCATATGTACCCTTCATCTTTGGTAAGGGGTGTAGTACTGGGGGTGCAGTCGGTCATCAATGTTTTACCAAACTGAACAGTTTTTCAGTTGTGCTTTTGGATTTTGCAGTGGGGCTTCCTAAGCCACGTACTGACATTGGTTCGAGGGCCAGAAGAAGGTCTGTTGTGTAGCATTTGTATCTGCTTCCATTAGAAAATTATGCTTTTGTGCTTCTCTGGTGCCACATTAATTCAGAATATTGCTGTTATGTCAGTTCTTAGGTCTGAAATTATGTCCTTAATCCCTCCTAGCTGAGGATCCAACTTGCAGGTGTGGCTGTGGCTGACAGGTACATGTGAGTTGTCTGCAAAGATGTTCTCTTCTCTGTGTTGTGGCATCCAGGACTAAAATAGTAAGACAAGCAGGAAGGGCTAATAGTTCATTAATCTTGCACTTGTGGTCCAGCACTCTTGTATAACTGTATTGGTATTTCTAGTAGCAACAGTCATCAAGTTTTTAATTCCTGTAATTACAGTAGTGTAAATTGGCTTTCACTCTGATTTATGCTCGTAGTGCCAGGCAGCAGCTCGAGACAAGATCTTTTTCCATCTGGTGAAAATGGCAATTCTGGACAAAAAGGAAAAAGCAAAAATGTCGTTTTGTCAGAGTGGAAATTCTAAATAATATTTTGGGGTTGGTTCTCTTTGTTGGTTTCAGTGATCAGCCACGTAAAAATGCTTAATCCTGAATGAGAAGGGTCTGAGTTTGCTGTAGTGGCTTCCCAAGCACAGGGCAAGCCTGGCCCCGCTTTGCTTCCGACCATTAAAACTAGAACCCAGGTCACAAGCACCTGCCTCTGAAAAATCCCTTGGCTGGGGTGCTGGACACCAGTGTAGAAGATAATCTGTTGAGCCAGGAGATTCCTCATTCGTTGCTGTAACCTTTTCAGCTCAACTGACTGTTCCTTTCCCTCGATTTGCTGTGATTGACCAGTATATGCTGTCACTGATGGTATAAGCCGGTTGCCTGCCAGGATTCATACTTTAAGAGGCAGCTGGCCACAGACATAGTCATAAGGTAGAATGCTAAAGGCCACATACTTCTCTTCAAGGAGACTAATAAAGCAGATTTTATTTGACTTGTATAAATCCAGTTTAATGGGCTTTCCTGCAGCTTTCCAGATACCTCTTTCATTAACATGTAAATTAGCTGTCCTAGAGCTGTTAATTATCTTCGCAGAAAACACTAGCTATGGCCATATAACATACTCTTTTTTACTTTTCTTGATGTTTCATACTGAAGTGTGCCTGTATCTCTTCTGTTTCAAAAGATACACAGATTTCCCGTATCTTTTCTGTTAGGAAGAGGACAAAGAAGTTACAGCTTTGTGTTGTCTTGTAGGAAAACAACTGTCTGGCTTCAGCATTATTCACCAGCCTCCCACCACATTAAATGGCCACTCAAATAAGCTTAGCAATGCATTTGCCCTTTGAAGGATTTGGGATTTTTTTTTTAAGTTAAGTGCCTGGCAAAGAAGGCCGCAGAGGAGGATGGCAGGTGCTCGGATAAAGGCAGCATCTGCTCTGATAGGGTACGTGCTGTGTCCAAAATTTGGCAGCGGCAGTGAAACAGGTAGGCATAACAAGTAACAAAATTGCTGAATTCCAGTTTCCAAGATGCTAACAAGCAAATTGATTTTCATATTAAAAAAATCCTAATTCTGAACACCGAATTCTGAACTTTTAAAATACACCTTTCCTGGAAAAACCCCAAGGGATTGTTTTCAGCTTCACCAACTGTTTAAAAACTATCTCTGTCCTTTAATAATAAAAGAAAGATCTTGGTGCTTCTGTTAAGAAGTCACCATGACAAGCTCCAATCTGTTTGTCATTTTTAACTGCCTGCTTTGAACAAGTGGCATCCACAGGGTATAGTTTTACTGCACAGGCAAGGCAGCAAGAGCAGTAAGACACATTTAGCACTATGGATTATCTTTGCCAAATCTTGGGTTCCTGAGAAGCGTGACTGCTGCCTTGCTAATAAACAAGAGATGACTTCATTATGAAGATCAAGCCTGCATTGGGCTGAGCAATACTTCATGAGTCAGCCCACCCTGGTAAGTGAACACTGGGTGCATGTAAGGGAGAAGCAGGACAGGCACGCAGGAGTACTTGGCTGGTGTCCACAGTGGTTAACAGGGGCTGCTTCCCCTATCAGTGCTGTCGTGGCCTGAACCATTGCACATTATCATCTTTTAAACCTCTTGTTGTGAGAAACTGCATAGAACAGATGATGGTAGCTGCCTCCTAGGTGTGCTCCCTTTGCAGATGCATGGTGCCCCTGAGCAAAAGCTTTTTTTTACAGTGGTGCACATGCTTCTTAAATGCAGCCTTAGACATGGTTGCCCATGTCTAGTTCTAGGTTTTAGCCTTCTCAGCTCATGGCCAGTGATCCCCTGATGCAGCACAGCTTTATCACAGCTGCTGAGGGTGGGAATGGTATGCATATGGCAACTCCTTCCCTGGTACAAAACAAACAGACTGCATAGCTGATGATCAGCAGGAGCACACAGAGCAGTAGTTCTACACCCTTCCACCCTGTACCTGCCTACTGGTTTGGGGTTCAAGATGAGTTTTAGTGTGAGCAAATTAGGCTACAAGAGACTGCTCCCCACTGCAGGAGGGTCCTGCTGTTCCCAGTCATGTGCTTGTGGCTTAGTTTCAGGATGTAACAGCCTGTGATGCATATGCTTAGACTTGAGTTCCAAGAGCAGCTCTTTCCTCATCTGCACCATGGGAATAAAAGATTGCCATGGCATTTTCCTACAAAGCACAGGATGGGAACAGGGACACAACTACTGAATTACCAACCTGCCTTTAGCATAAGACATGAATACATCAATGACTTAGGCCATCGGCTGGTCTCAACTACTCTCCGTATTTCCATTGTATTTCCATAGCTGATACATGAGCAGATGACAGTGTTTCTTCAAAAAGGGACTGTCACTGTCCATGTGCTATTTCATTGTGAAGTATGTTGTTTTGCATTGGCTTGCTGTGAACGAAAACTATGGTGAGTTTTGGAACTGTGCTAGAAAACCTACTAGGGATGCCTTTAATCTCTTTGTAGGTCAGAGCAGTGTTTTGAGTAGCTCCCCAGTCCTTTTAGAACGGTTGAGGCATGTTATTACAGCACAGCACTTCACTTAACAGAGGTCTGTTGTAATATGCAGGTTCACTTGCATGGTCAAGTAAAACGAGACATTTCTTGCTGACCACTTCTCCTGATTCTGCTGCACAGCCTCACAGCACACAGCGTGCATTTTACTTTAACACAGGAATGCGTTTAACAAGGCAAGTACTAGGGCCTGCCAACACCACAGCTAGTTGAGATCTACAAGAAGATACTGCGTAATCCTTGATTGCACAACAGAAAGTAAGCAGCAGAACAATGCCAGCATTACTGTTGTAGCTATACTGCTATCTACTCTCCTTCTGGGTGTCCATTCCAGAATAACTGCAGCAGTCCAGCTATTTCAGATAAGGGTGCTTTATTTCAAGTGGCAGAAATGGATTAATACATAAATTTCACAGGAAAATGTTTTTCTGCGGGTCTTTTATCCGTACATCATTACATATTCTTATATATGATTTGTACCTGAAATGAAGTAAAACATCTTAAGATGTTTAAGATTAATAAAAAGAAATAACTTAGGATAAAGAACTTTTCAAACAAGCTGTAGATAAGGTTAGGTTGTATATACATGTCCCTCCAGGGGCAGAATTCTTACCTTTAAACATGAAATGTAGCCTGGACAGATAATCTATTCCCTTAAATAAAAATCCTTGTGCAAAAGATAGATTGCTTTTGCATTACAATTACAATTTCTATAGGAACAATAAGGGGACAAAATTTTACAATTCTAAATCAGTATTTGCCTTCATCAAGCTATTTTTATTTTGCTCTAAGACAAGAAGTTTGTTGAATCCTTCTGCCAGGCCACTACTGTCTTCATCATCACTAAATGTAACCCAGTGACTGAAATCTTTCAAGCTGGGATGTTTTAGACTTTCTGGAGTGTGTGCTGGAGAAGCTGATGCCACCTGCATAGAAAGAGGGCAGGAACAATCCAGGTCCAGGTCCAAAAGATTGGTGTTCTCTGCAAGAAAGCTGGTATCTGAGAGCTGTGCATGCTGGCTCCCTGGTACAGGAGGATACTGGAGGTTGGTCATCAATTCTGTGGTGCTTGGTGCCAGCTGCTTAGCTGTGTTGTCTTCTGGGCTGGTAGAGAAGGCAGGAGCTGAGAGAGATGCCTGCATGGGGCCGTGAGAATCCCGAGTCTGAGGGCAGAGCCCAGGATTGTTGTTGTTGGAGTTGAACATCAGCCCACTAAAAAGTGGGTTGTCGCTGCTCTGGAGAACTTGCAGATGAAGAGCTGCAGGAGCCGACTTCTTTCTTCTTGGTGGCACCTTTGGGGCAAAGGAGGCATTTTGCGAAGGCAGTGCAATGGCGTCAGCCATGTTGGAGGAAGGGGCCTGCCTTTCACTGCTCCCCCTGCTCTCCTGAGGCTTCCCAGGTTGTGTGGTTCTGGGTTTAGGGACTGGAGTAATCCTGGTTGGAGTAAGAATAGGTCCAGCTTCTAGAGAGGGCTCTGGAAAGCCAAAAGGAGACTCTGCTGGCTGTTGTTCAAACTGCTCTTCTGTAGATGTGGCCTGAGGGGAAAAAGGAACAAGAAATGTGAGACTAAAAAGGGTACCTTTAACTCTAAGTCACTGCTAGTGCAAGTCTTATTGATGGCATTACTGAGAGAAGCCGACAGTACTGGAATGAAAAAGAGCAGTACAAAGAGGAGGCTTGACAGTGCAGTTTTATACTGCACCTGCTTGGTTCTGTTCTCACATATTGTGCCTTGGACACTTACAGAGTGCTGGCTGAGGACGAGGACACTACAGCTTGTTCACTCCTTATACGAGAAATACATCTCCGAGTCTCTTTCCTGTTAGGATTTTTCTCCAGGCCCAATTAACACAGCTCTGAGGAGTTATTTACTTGTAACATCTCTCTGCTGACTAATATTATTTAAGCAAGAATGCATAGGGAGGGCAAAATTAGCACATACCTTTGGGTATATGCCAATAGATAAGGCTGAAGAACAATTATCTTCAGTTGACCCAATAAATGCACTAATGGCTCTGTCATGTCTCAGTGATGCTAGGAACAGAAACTAAAAGTAAGCTATCCAACTACAGTCTAGCATATATTCACCACTTAAAACTATATAAATAATTGGAGCCCAGTCCAGGAAGGAAATGGCTGCTTCAGGTTTCTCACAACTCTGTGTGACTGAATGAAAGCAATTTAATTCTTTATTATTCTTTCACAGTATTAAAATATACAGGCTTTTCAATGCAGCCAAAATATTTACTTAATATTTCATAATGGACATATCCCCTGCCAATTCTGTCTATATGTTGTTGATAAGTGGCCTGCATTTGCTTGCATGCTCTCTGAACGATAGAGGTGGATTGGGTAGAGGTTTTCAAGTACACAACTCCCATCTGAACTCACTCAGATGGAGGAAGAAGTGGAAACCTGAAGCAGAGTCAAACTGAAATAGATAGATTCCTGCAGGACATCTCATGTAACTAACACCAAAACAGCAAACCCTCTGAGTGCCTTTCAGGAGCACCCTAGGAATGGTGACAACACAACCCGACCATTCCTTGTTACTGAGTGTTTAAGGAAAGGGCACGCACTCTGTGCTCTGCGTTTTTTACTTCTGTGAATTTGAAAAGTACAGAAGGTGCAAAGTCCGTTATAGGGAAGGGGTGAATGCCTTTACAAAGGAAGGTAAGGCAGGAATCCCAGCAACTTAGAACAGAGCTTTCTAGCAGAGGCTTTGTCAAAGGAAGGATATAAAAGATTATATTTGTCTTTCTTTTGTACATAAATTGCTTTCATCATTAAATAATCATTTTAGCAGTTCTAGAGGTGAACTATTATCTCTATTGTAGAGACCTGACAGAGACCTCCAGGCTTGCATTTTTAAGAACTATTGAGTAGAATCCAGCATTCAAAGTGAAAGGCTGACTCCCATTACAAGGTGTGTGAGCAAAGTTAGATGTCTCTGAACAGGATACAGAACAGCATACTGATGAAGCTGCCTCAAATCATTACAGAGCAGACCACTCATGATGTGGTCAGAAGTAAACACTGTGATAAAGAAGGGATGAGTCTGAAATCCTGAGAAGCTTTAGACAAACCAGAAGAAAAATAACAGAATCTAAAAGAATGGACTGAGAAATAGAAAAGCTGAATACAAACAAGTAAGGAACTCGCGGCTCTCTTTTCTTTCTGATCCTTCTTACATTTGTATGCCTGGGTGACTACAATACACAAAATCATTTCAGTGCCTGCTGGCTAAGACCTTCAAATGACAGGACTTCATACACAAAACTGTTTAACAGGCCACCCCTCCTGCCATCGTTCATGTTCTGTAATGGAGGCTGGATGCATTTTGCTGCAACTATCTTACATTTTCCACCTTGACTCCGGTCCGTTGCAGTGGTACCGGCTTCTTCGTAGTTGGAACTTTGGGTGGTGGGCGATGGGGCACAAGCACTGGTCCTGCTTGTGACCCTTGAAATGATGCTGACTTTGTCAAGCTGGGAAGAGGCTCTGTTTTGGTGAAGGACTGGTTTTTAGTTGGAGCAGGCTTTACTGCATCTTCCTGTAGTCCTGAAATGCAAAACCATACAGTGTCTTGGCCTGATCAGGATGTAGCTTCAAGGTAATTTCTTTCAGTCATGTTTTCTAAAAAGTGCATGCCTAAAGGGCTGGCTCAGGCCAGGAAGTCAGGTTTTAGAAATAAATCCAGACCCTTGCAATCCCATCACATCTGTACGAGGCAGTTAGGGAAAAATTCCCTTGCCTGGAATAATTTCATGCCAAGTCAGCAGTGCTGTGCCACCCTTTGGCCAAGTGGAAAAAACAGTGGCTGGGGGTCAGCAGTACTGGACTCACTCAAGTCGTGAGTCTCCTTTTGCCTTGTTTTTTTTTATCTGGAAAATCAAGGTAATGCTGCTAAGCACATCTTGTACTTTGGGAAGAACTACATATGCCAACTGGTTGTACAGCACAAGGGACTGAAAGTGATGCTGACAGGACAAGCTTCCTGAGTGAAATGCTTAATGTGAATTTCAAAATCAATGGAGAGTAAATGTGATTTCAAAGCCAAATGAATAGTACTCTCTGAGGAACAAACATCAAGATGCCTTTATGATATTTCTAATTAAACTGGATTATTGCAGACTGCATTTGCTCCATTTACACATGAAAAGGGATATTTTCTTTCTAAACTGAGAGCTTCAGAGTCATGCTGCTTTCTTTTTCATTCATACAGCATCAGCAGAAGGACAACTTGCAGCCCTGCAGGGTATATTCAGCACCACCTGAGTTTCAGTACCTAAGCTGGTTTCCTGCTCTAACTTGCCCTTGCAAGAAGCTCTTCTCCAGGGATTAAACAGTCTAAACACAGAATGTTTTTTTAGCTCAGCTATTCAAGCTACAGTAGTGCAAGATTCTGTCCAGGTTACAACTATACTTGCTGCCCAAATACGAACAGAATCCAGGTTATTTCTCCCACTGTTGTACTTGCTTTTTAGTTCTACTTGGACTAGTGAGCATTCACCAGATAGAGCAGCAAATATCCTTTACGCAACCCTGAGCTAACACAGGTACTGTCAGTTTAGTAAGATCCCATCTTTATCTTTTAATTTTCAGACTAATTCTGACATAAAATAGCTCAAGGTGCTCTTAGTAATGGGTTCGAAAATGAAATACACAACTTGAGTCATCTTGGAAATGAAGGTTAGTCTTATCAAACCTGTCAGAGAATACCAAGTACAACCTTGCCTGAATGTGTATGTCAGTGTTCAGGTGAGTTTCTGAATAGAAATATGTGCTTCTGGGCTACGATGGAACGGATGAATACATCTGCAGTTTTCTTTAAATAAAGATTTCTGTGCTCACCTCCTTTAGCTTCCATAAGACATCTAATAGCTGCTTCTGCTTCCTCAGCTGTGGTGGTTTTGATCTGCTTGACGTTGTAAGGTTTACTTATTCCAGTCCGGACTTTAGGCTTAAAAAAAAATACAAGAATGAGTGATCTTGAGAGAACTGATTTTTCTAGTATGCCTGTAATCCTACACCTAAGCTCAGATACCTGCAAAGCTCTGTTTTTGCCAGTGGCTATTCAACAATCAATCAATAATACAGCAATGGTGGGGGGGTCTTTTGGAAGATACTACATCTTTGTTACCTCTAAACAGACAGACCAATGGTTTATTGTGACAGCTAGTCCCCTAGCCGTCCCTTGTTCAATACTCTGGGGTTCTTATCCAGTGAGACAGGAGTGGGGAGGTGTTCCCACATTCTGGTCTTGGTCTCCTCAGAGGGCTAGCAGCCTTGCTGGCAATGGTCAGGAGTTGTATTCTGGGCACTAGCATGGCCCATCAAAAAAGAGGTGAGAAAAGAATCAAAGCATATTATTGTGACGTTGAAAATTCAAGTCAGCATCTGCCAAAAAGCAGCAGGTGGAATAAACCAACAGTGCCCCAGTCTTGCACCACTCTCTCTCCTTCTTTGGCCTCTCTAATTCCTAGCAAATTAATAACATTTATCTGGTGTTGAGCAGGTCCTACAATCTAGTATTACAGTACAAAGAAGTTCATCTCGGCATTGCCAGCTCAGGCATGTGACAGACTGCCTTCTTTGTATGGGAGGTGTGTCACGGAATCATAGAATGGTTTGGGCTGGAAGGGACCTTAAAGATCATTCAGTTCCAACCCTCCTGCCATGGGCAGGGACATCTTCCACTAGACCAGGTTGCTCAAAGCCCCATCCAACCTGGCCTTGAACACTTCCAGAGATGGAACCATTCACAACCTTTCTGGGCAACCTGTTCCAATGCCACACCACTCTTACAGTGAGGAATTGTTTCCTAATATCTAACCTAAATTTACCCACTTTCAGCCATGTACGTGGTGTTCAGTGGCTACTGTGTCCACATGGATGGGGGTGATCAGGACAACACTAAGTGGCCACACTGAGTGGCAGGACTCACTGGCTGCTGAGGGGCTCCAGGTAGCAGCTTTGCCATTGCCAGGATGGAACAGGAGGAGTGGCTTTCTGGAGAGAGGGAACCATCTGAGGGGGGCTTTTTGCTTGGTGTTCCAGCTGAAAGAGGAATAAAAATGGCTTTTTACATTCAAGAACTGGTCCAACATTTTATCTGCAATGGAGCAATAGCAATGTGCTTTGAAATTGTTTGTGGTAAGTAAAAAATGATGCTATCACCCTCCCTGCTCCTCCAGGGACAGACATTGGGTAAGGTGTTCCCATAGGATACTGCGGACTTTGAGTTCCTCTGCCTGTCAAAGGCCAGACACTTTCATCTAGGAGTGATGGGCTGAATTATTACTGGTCTAATCTAAGCTGAAAAAAGTTATCAAAACAGAATGAAATGCTGAAATCTGGAACTGCTTCAGGTAGTCTTGCTTTCATTTAATTCATTTAATAACCTCAGCTGAGCATTAACACACAATCACAGAACACCAGGTTGGAAGGGACTTAAAGGATTATTTGGTCCAACCTTTCTAGGCAAGCATGACCTAGACTCGATGTCCCAGCACCTTGTCCAGCTGAATCGTTGAAGTGTCCAGCACTGGGGAATCCACCATTTCCCTGGGGAGAGTATTCCAATGGCTGATTGTTCCATTTGTGAAAAAATTTCCTGTGTCCAATTGGAATCTCCCCAGAAGTTCCAGGCACAGAAATACAGATACCAGAGCTGTCACTTCTGTGCAACAAGACTTAGAAATGAATGTGAATAATCCCAAATAACTCATCTTTCAGTAGCAAGTCTGACAGAACTTTTAAGACTGAAAAATATACACAGAAGAGAGACTTTAGGGCTGCAAGAAAAATGTGATAGCTTGTGTCCTACAGAAGGTGAAGATGATTATGCTGATCTACCAATCAGCATTTACCCAGAAGTAGCCATAAAACCAGGAGCAGCATAGCACTGATGGCATCTCAGGTGGGTAAAGCTTAGGTGAAGCGCATGACTTCCCCTTTGTGCCTCACTGAGAATTATAATCCATGTTGCATTTGTTTCTCATAAACACAGAATCAAGAACTGCTTGCAAAACAGGAAAGGACAAAAACTGTCCAGAACACATATTTTCTCAAAGCTTTTTAACAGGAAAATTACAATCAAGTCAGAAACAAAGAAACAGTAAGAAAACACTCAGTGACATTGAAAGTCAACAGGCATGAACACTGATATTTATTTTTATTGCCACAAAGTGGCTGGTTAACTCACTAATCTGAGTTAGTATGGAACACATGGGCCATTCCATCCTCACTAAAGGCATTTGTTTGTGGAGAATCTGTCACCTTAAGGACAAACTTCTCCCACTGACTGCAGCCACAGTCACGCTGAAACAGACTGGGAAGCAAATGTAAATACCTCAACAGGCTCACATTTCAGAACAAGGTATTACTTTCTTTGTCACCTACAATTGGCAGCAAAACTGTTCAGTTGTGCCAACATAAGGTTAAAGAAAGTTAAACTCACCTGGAGGGGGAGGCCTCTGTGGTGGCTGAAGTGGCCAAGGCCTGGTAGGAATGGACAGAGACCTGCTTGGAGGCCGGCGATGGCATTCCTCACCCACCTCCAGCTCCCGCTTCAGATTGGCCAGGTCTGAATCATCTAGGAAAATTTTAGGAAGAATCTGTATTAGATACCTGCTGGGTGAGATGCACCAAATTCGGATGGTCAGGAGAGAGGGAATTATGAATGGCAAGCCTCAACCAGGTATCTCAGCAACATGCTGCGGCTCCTTTCATCTTGTTTTGCTTTCACTAAATGTCTTCCTGCTCCCACTCCAAGAAACATGTACGCTTTTGTCAGACACTTTTCTCTCTCCCCTTTTGCAGCATTTATTAACTGTTTATATCAACACAAAGACTGCCTGCATCTGATTTCAGTGTTATTAGTCACCGTACTAGGTTCTGAGCTTTTCACAGCAAGAACTGGTAGCAACCTGTTCACATTCAAACTTTGTCATGACAGCCACAAGGAGGCTAGTTAATCATGGCCAATCCCTTGTTCTTCCTTCCTGAACACAGGAATTTCCCTTTGAAGAGTAGACAACTTTATGTGCTCAGGAGAACTGTTTTATGCCAGTGAGAAATCTGAACGGCTCACATGTTACGTCTCTGTTTTGCAGAGTACAATTGCCTCAGTCTGGTAACCCCTGGCTGCATCTTACATGACTAGGTAATTTCAGTCTTTCCTCCTGCCTAAGCCTCTCTGACAGCTCAAGAAGTAAGAAGCAGTGATTGCTTTTGTCTACCCCTCTGCTATATTGAGGACTTTCAATTCAGTTCTCTTACCCTGCCATGGCTACCCAGCCATGCAGCTCTGTTCTTTAGGGCTCCAAAATTCACTGGGTTTAATTTTGTCCCTGTGGCTTGGAGAGGATGGGGAAGGAGCTGTGTAGCAGCAGTCTGTCATACTTGAGGCATTTTTACACAAGTTCTTGTTTTTCAGAAGGCTGTGCTCTGCAGGGAATACTGAGCTGCCTCACAGTTCCCATCTCCCACTCAGCAGTGGATGGTAGCCACAGAGACAGTCTGTGATCTGCCCAACCTTCCCTCCCCCTTCTCTTTGCATTTTCTATACTTCTAAGCTGCAAATACACATTCATCAGTAGGATGCAAGGAGTCATGCAGGCCCCTAAAAGCATGGCTTGAAATTCTGGCAGTAACACTGAACACAGACAAAAAACAGCCATCACCACTCTATCCCCCTAAAAGGCTGCTGGTTTTAAGCTACGGCTTCCAGTGACATCAGTTTTGTGAGGCTGTGCCCTTCTTTGACCTCAGAAACATACATACACACTGTTCTGCCCATCACTGGTTTCCATCTGTGTCTAACATCAGCTATACAATCATCATACCTTCGATTGGGAGTTACTCAGCCAGAATTGGAAGCTCATGGACACATCTGAAATTGCAGAGACTTTCACGATGGATTGAATATATAATATTTTGAGCTGTGTGACAGCACCTTGACCTCCTTCAAACTATCTAATCTCCGTTTACTTTGTGATACTTTTTGTGGGAAAGAGTTATTGGGGGTGAAAAGAATCACTGCAGTTCTCTGTAGCTTAATGAATCATCACACAGTAGGCCAGAGGTGTTTGGAGGGCAAGTCATCCTACAGTACAAAGTGATTGGCTTCACAGTATTTAATAATGACAGATTACTTCTTGACCCAGGGCTAGGTTTCTGGGTCTGGCCAGACTGCACTCAGCATGACTCAAGGTGGACAAAAAAGTTGTATATCACTCTGATTGTTTGGAAAATCTGTGTAAAGTTAGGAATTTAATTTAATCTTTTTGAACTCTTACTTCTGACTCAGCCGTTGAAAGTATTAAAGTTTTCACTTGTATGTCAGAAGACAAAGCACTTCTGAGAGAGCACAGAATGACAGCTACTGAACCACTTGCTGTCACAATAAAGTGTTCAGTGCATGACCCAGCCTGTCAATGCTTGATCACCAAAGCATGACCTGATCACATCCCACTGTAAGACCTCCACTGGTTTGACTGGTTCTTGCTGCAGTTTTTAACAGTATTCTCTTTACAGCTTTATCTTCTCCTTATTGAGTCAGTTCCCATTAACATACAAACAAGCCAGGTGACCAGGAAAAAAGGTAACAAATTTATGAAGCACTAAACGAATGAATATACCTGCTGTGTGAACCTCAACTTCTTCAAATAAAATGGGAACAAAGAAGAAACTTTAGGCCTCCTTGAAGTATGCTGTTAGAACAAAACCACTCCTGTACTTCCCAGCTTACACCTGACTGCACTGCCACAGCTATTGCTCAAAGGACAGAGCCAAGCCCATCACTGAATCTACAGGATTCCTTTGGTTTGATTTTGCTCAGTCTTTCACTAATAAGAAAATAATAGACATTTTTTTGTGGTATACTCTGGTGCCAAACAACATGCACTGGATAGAAAGACTTAATTTCTCCTAACTATAAAAGGAAACCAGCATTTCTCAGCATTCTTGCCTTGCCTTGGCTACAGAGAAGGAGGATGTAAGCTTTATTATTTGTGTTGCTGTTATGCCTGAGGACCTCAGCTACTGTCACGAACTCAAAGGAGAGGTTGAGCGTGAGCATGTACCAAAAAGATGATCCTCATCTTTGGAGGACCTACAATGAAAATCGAAATGAACAGGGAAATACAGACAAAAGGAGAAACTTTCAGGTCTTACTTTAAGGAAGGTAGATACTCTACCTTTATAGAGCTGTGGGTTGGGTCCAGATTTGTTTGAAAGAGGTGTGGATGCAAATTGTCGAGAGCTCTCAGGCATATCTTCTGCTGTGTTATCTACTAGATGTTGACACAAAGTATCATCTAAATAGTCATCTTCATCCTCCACTATATCACCTGAATTAAAATATTAAGTAAGAAAGAATTAGCGAGGAAATGTATTCTCGGTCTCTCTCTACTATTAGTCAATGCATTTAATATATAGGTTGGGCAAGCTTCTTGTGTAACCCATGTGTTTTATTACAGCTTGTTTCTATACAGACAACTGTACCATAACTTAGATTTGCTACCACATATTGTAACACTAAATTGATAGGACAATCTCAGCAACAGTTCTCTATCCAGGCACAAGGCAGGTCATGGCCTTAGTTACGATCCTCTTTTTAAGTATTGTGGCTTCATTCCAGATTAAGATATAACTGACACTCCTACAGTACTTTCTCTATGCAATCAAAGTCAGCAAACCAATTTCCCACAATTTCACTTAGAATCCTTCTGCTCACCTTCCGAGTCATAGTCCAAACTTGAGAAGTCAAAATTTTCTTCCAGAAGAAAGGAGTTTGCCGTGGGAGATACGGGTGCAATGCTGTCCCGTTTTCGAGCAATTTCCTCCTGAAGGCCCTTTAGCCAGTCCTTAGTCTTGGGCCGGATCTTCACTGTTCTGCCTCTAACCTAATGCAAAGAAAGAACTGTTTCCCCTTTGCCAAGCAGCTTCACAAAATGAGAACACCTGAAGAGAATAAGCAAGTGCTGCCAGTCTGTTGTACAACTGTTTCAGAAACTGATGCAACTAGCTTCATTTAGGAAGCTAAATGAAAAGGAAGCACTCTTCCTACACCCCCAACCAAGTGTTCAGGCTGTAACAATATTCTTGAAAGAAAATTAGCTTCACAGCTCAAAAGTACTGCTGCTACATTTGGGAAATACTTGGGAAATTGATGAAGCATCCAATATCATCAGAACAATACTGTCATAGTAATAATGTGGAGGCTTCCATTTTTGAGTCAGTAGCTTTAAAATACACAGGAATTTGCTACTTGCTGCCACCTGTAAGGAGATTCTCTGCTCAGATAATCCCGAATATGATGGTTGATGTATATGGAAAGTATACTATTAAACAGGTTAAGACTGCAACTGCTTATATGTGTTGCTTCATGACATTTGGGGTGAGATGTATTCAAGCCAGCAGCTTTGAAACAAAATTAATACGGAAAGTTCCTGAGTCAGGTTCCCAGCACCTTTAGACACTGCACACATGCAACTGCATTTTGGCTTGTACTGTTACTTGAGTGTTAAGTTTACAGTGCAGCCCCACAGTTTTATCAGCATAAATGAGGGGACTGATGAACTGTAGAGCATGTGTGTAGAAAGGAAGAGCAGGGGATGGGAAGGTAAATGCCTACTGCTAATGCTTAGTTTGCCATGGAGGCCAATGAATCATGTTGTTCCAGCTTGGTAGAAAGAGTTTATCTGATACACTTAAGAGTAATGAAAAGTCTCCAAACCACAATCGTGAGGATGCTTTGGCAACAGCATGAAGTCACATATTATCTCAGGAGAACTGCTTCAAGTGCCAGAGCAACAGCCAAGTCCATATATTCTGCACTGGTACCAAAGGCCAAATCCTAAGGCCTCCTTAGGATCTCCAAGAAAAGTCACCTCCTGCCCTCCAAAACTGAAATACTGCATTAAAAGCCTCAGCAGCTGTGAAAGCTAAAGACTTTGTGAGCACTAAGTTTCTTTAAAATAATGCTACTTGATACAGATAGAAACTCAACTGTCTTATTCTAAGCAACCAATTTTGAGAAATTTGTTATGAAATTCCTATTAAAGGTTTGAGAGAGTCTTACTTTGACACCATCTATATCCATAACACGAAGAGCTGACTTGCTGTCTGCAAATGTCACCAGCATTTGGCCTCCACTGATCCTAGGAAAAAAGGGTAGAGGAGAAAAACCAATGCATTTTACTTCACCACTGAATAAAAAGCCTTAAAGGCAAGCATGATAGCTTTGTATAGCTATATATCTGGTTTTAGTTGTATTTTCCTCACAACACTATTTTGGGGGGAGTAACATGATCTATGAATCCCAGTTCAGCTCTTCCTCTCCCCCACCCTGCATTGTGTGACCCCAGCACCCTGCCCTTGACTGGACTGCCTGCCCAAGAAGCAAAAGTACAAACATTTCAGCAGCTGTTGACAGGTCTGACCAAGACTGATATCTGCCCTCTCTCTGTACTAACTTCCATAGCTCTCCATACCCCTCATGTATGTCATAGGTCCTCACCTCAGAGGACATGTGATGTTCCCCAAAATTGGTATACTCTCAAGGTGTGAGGAAATTAAAACCAAAACTAAACCACCAAAGCATACCCTTTTCTTGCTCCACTTCTTCACAAGCAAGGTGATGCTACTGTTCCTGCAGGGTTGCTTTTAAACCCTCAACTTATATTTCGTACTTCATAAGACCATACAAGAGGTCATCTGTTTTCTCCCTTAATAAACAGGTCTAATATAATACAAACAAGTTTCTGGTCTTGTTTCCGAGGTCAACTACCAGATCTTTTGCCTTTATTTCTCAAAACAGAAGTCTCACAGCCTTGTACAGGAGCTGTACATGCTGGAGCCCTGTACAGAATGAAATTAAACTGCTCTGCCAGAAGGTATCACATTGCACTCTACCTCTCAAATTCAGTAGGTGATGGAACTTCAAGAAGCTGTACTATTAACAACCAACCAAAATGACTCCCAAAAGAAAGGTGAGCAAGCTAGGAAATCTTAGTGAGCATGACAGTGCTGGAAGAGAGCAGCACTTCCTCAGAGGAAGTGAGGCAGGACCCTGCCAACAGAGGCAATGCATAGAAATGAGGCCTGCATGTAAAGGCGATGATTCACATCAAGGCCTCTGCTTTATGGTGCTGTACCAGATAAAATTCTCCTCCACTCAGCTGACAGAACTGTTAGACTATTTCTTTAACAGGTTGATGAGAGGTAAAAAGTATTCAAAACACTTGTATTCAATTTCTAATGAGGAATTCAGCATGCAGGAAAGGAATGCAGCATATTGCTTTCTAATAAAAAATTAGAATCTGTCAGGACAAAAAGGGAATTTCTAGCCTATGTTCTTGAATAGCTGACATGCCATTTCAGATCCCAAACTTACCTGACCAGAACAATAGTGCCATAATTCTCAAACATTTGCATAAGCTCTGTACGCAAGTCCTCAGGAAATTCATTCTTCTCTTCTGGTGTTGGTGATAGCAGATTTACCACTACTGTGGCATCCAGTGGTCCCTGGAAAGATGACACTTCCTGGAAAACACTCTCACGGGCAGCTTGATTAACTTCCTGAACTTCCACTTCTACAATAGCTAACACTGGCCTATATAAAACAAAGGAGAAATGCTTATTTAAAATTAAGATCAATATCACTCAACAGGAAATGCTTATATAAAATTAAAATCAGTATCAAGCAGCAGGACAAGTAAGCACTTAACTGTATGAAGGACAAACAGTGTATTTTTTAAACTCTATACAACTATGACCATTAACTCCATGACGTTACATCTCATCGCAGATGTTTAATTAAGCCTGCTATGCCTTAGAAGGAAGTGATCATTATGTATGACCTCCTCAGAAAGAGAAGCGGAACAGATTACTTAAGGTCTCACTGCAAAAGAGCACTGTGGTTGACAATACAACCCAGAAATTCAGAGTCCGGTGGGTTGTTTCATTTTTCCTGCAGCGGAATCGTGCTTTGAGCACTGTTAAATATATTTACCAGTCCTGAATTAGCTGAATGTAACAGTAAGGACTGTAAAGGAATTCAAATAACAGTTGTGTGTAGCACTTCTGGCAAACCTGATATTTCACTCATTATCAAACAACTGTGTTCCCAAACATCTATAGATAAGGAAGGCAATATATTATTTTCTCTTAGACAAGGCCACATAAAGATGCCTTCTTCCAAAAACAGGACAAAGTACTCTAAGTGTATAATCTGGTTATGTAGCAAACATATGTCAATCCATCACATTATAAGCAGCCAACATTGCAAACTTACTTCTTCAGCCTTTTTACAAATCACCTCTCTGTGTGTTAGATCTAAATAAAACTGAGAAAGCTCTCTGAAAGAGTAAAGCTTCCATCTCAGTGGATGCAATCCACATTCTCAGATTGCCACCTGCACATACACAGAGAGCAGCAAGTGGAATTGCTGCCTCCTACTTGCTCTAGATTAAAAATATGCATTACCAGAACATGTGAAAGCAACAACAGCAGAGCCCAAAAGACATACTAAAGGGGGGGGAAGCATAGAAATAGTTAAGTATTTCTACATGCACTGTGAATCATAATCCATTTCCATATGTCACAAGCCCTTTTTCCAGCACAAACCTTGGGAAAGCAAACCTGCTGACTGTAATTAAAAAACAGTTTCTGCAGTCAAGTTTGCTGAAATAGAAAACCAATGATGTACAACAGTCATGTTTCACCAATTGCATCCTCAGGGTCCTTTATAATGAGTGCAGCAGTTCCATTGTGCTTTGTGGAAGACGGCAATGTCAAAGCCTTGACACAGAGAAATTGATTGCAAGAGCCACGTTCTTGCATTGCTGGAGGAATAAAGAACAGCTCTTGCATGCAGAAGCACTGTGAGAAGCACAGAGCCAGCTACTGTGGGTCACTGAGCGCTGCTACGAGGAAAAATACTGTAGCACTTCCATAGGGCATGCAAAGGGTGAGACAAAGATTATTCCAAATCCAAGGGAGTTTTCAGGGTGTAAATTTATTACAGAATTTGTTTGAGGGAAGTGAAGCAGTGAACAAGTTTAACAAAGGTCATTCATATCCCTAAAGACAAGTTAATGATATGGACCAACCAGGGGCACTGGTCTTTATTTTTAACTGCTTCTCCCATCTCCATTTCTAAGGGTAGCCCAGAAGCCCAACACTTCACTACTCTGAAATGGTCATGCCTAGCCCTGTGCATATGGCTTACATCTCTTCAGGCCACACTGTCCCAGCCTCGTCCTCTGCCATGGCAAGCTGAGCGGAAGCCCATCAGAGCAGCTTGTTTTGCTATTGGAGCTTTCCAAAACCAAGCAACAGAAAGCCCTCAGCTTTCTCTATCTGTTGCTACAGCTTATCCAATCCTTGCTGACATCACAGTGCAGCAGAAGTCTACACAAGACCATAGATACTTTCCCCCTGGTATAAAACATACCATGAGGGGAAAAAAAAACCTCCAAATGGATAATAAACGCAGAATAAGAGTGTAATTCCTGTTACAACAATGTATGTATTACAACCATAATACAACAATTATGACATTATGAATGCTTCATAATTCAATATGACACATTCTACCTAGTGCCTTTCTTTCATTATTTGCTTAGGACTTTACCTGTGGTCAGATGCTTGAAGCTCGGCTCTCCCATAGTACATCAAGGCTCCAGGTGTCCAGGTGTGCCTGACTTTAGTTTCAGCATTCAGATCACTGTCTAGAAGATTGATCTCTCCAGCTGTGCAGCACAAAACATGATTTAAAACTCACTCAAAACTAGCTGTACTAACAGTTAAGAGTTATTCTATTAGGATGCACTTTACAGACCGTAGTAGTAGGAGGTGGGGTATTTTTGTTCTTGTATCCTGAAATATTTACCAGCTAGGGACTGGGGCAAAAATACAGAAAGGACAGGGAGTGCAACAGAGACAGCTGATCACTAGAAAAAGACACCTGTAAAATGTTTAGCTTGAATGTTACCCAGTCAACTGCCTGTACAATCTGGGTTGACATTGTCATGCTAGGATTTTGGCTCCTGCCCCATTATGGAGCATACAAACAGACACTGTACCTGAAAAACACGCTGTAAATCTGAATACACAGGGATTGGAGAAATAATGCGCAAGATATGGGAGAAAGCAAACCTATGCAAATCTAACCTCTGAATACTTCTTTTGCAATGCATGAAGGTGACAAAGTGCTCTAGACATTATGCCAGAGTATTATACTGCTGTGAATAACAGGAAGGTTCTAGGTCACTGTTTAGGCTAATGGACAACTCCATTTCTTTTCTCTGGAGTTGAAAATGAGTTAATATGGAATATCATGTTCATGCCTAAACACTTGTACTGTGGGTACACTTTCTTCTCAGAAGGCAAATAATCCTCTAGCCTGTAACAGCAAAAGAAAGGCAAAAGAACCGGAGCCAAGAGGCAGAAAAGCCTTGGCACTAGCAGTAAAGGAGAGGAACTCTGGTAGTGAAATAATTAGAAAAGCTTTGAAGGGGTGGGAAGGTGGATGAACAGACAAGGGGTCAGGTATATACCTATGTGAGCTAGCTGTGGGAGGCCTACAAGCTCTAAAGACAGGAACCTGCTTTGGCTAGATAGGTCCTACATTCTGTGTGTACTCCATCAACTAAATTCTTGCCAGAGGCAAGATTTGCTATGCAAAATAAGGAATATGCTGAAAGGTCTTCCTTCTCCTAAACTGAAAACAGCCAGCACAAGAGGGCTTTTTTAACTTCCTTATTGTATCTCACACAGTTTTTCTTTCCCAGATTACATCTCCTTCAATGGTTTAAGCTCCTCATTTTACATTATTTTTCATTCCTTTAATAAGAGCATATAACTCTGTATCACACTGACACATACTCTTTGAATGCGCTAGTTTTGCTTTTTACCTTTTACCATCAGTGTACTCATGGTATGAGCTGGATTCCAAGCAGTAGTTCCCAGGCATGTGAAAAAGCAAATCTGCAGGCACAAACTAAACTACTTCTCCAGCAATTACACTTTAAATCTGATTTTGTTCAGATTTTATACACACCAGGGGATGTACCTACAGACTGAAAGAACGGTTATGAAAACTGTCCCTGGACACACAAAGAAATATTTTTTATTTTGTTCGTGTAACTCATGAATAACAAGTGAAAAGAGCCCTTCTGCTGTGCTGGCCACTCATGATCAGAAAGTACTTTACAAACACTAATTAATGGAATCACCCCCGATTCCAGAAGCTAGCAAAAATATTCCTAAGAATTACTATGGCAGAAGAAATTACAGAAAAGTGCTTATACATCTGCTGAGGACAACAGTGGCAACAACCTAGCCATTAGAACATGGGAACTTTACGTGGACTAACGATTCTGTTGAAAAAAAACCAGAATAATTTCTAGATTGCTATAGCTGGATTATTTTCCGTTCCCGAGAGAACTCCCAGCACCTTTTAATTCTCTAGCATGAGCCCTTTGTTCACATGAAGAAATGGCTCTTTCTAGCCCTACAAGTTATTCCAGTGAAGCTGAAAGAATATCTGCTAGAGTAAAGCTACCGCAATTTGACAAAGCCTACAGGACACATCTAAAGACAACCGACAGCCCAGAACTCACTAACTCACTTCTTCACCATACACTAGATTAAATTCCCTTATGTCCAGAACTCAGTAACTCACTTCCTCACCATTCACCCTTATGTGGATTCTGGATGAAATCTAAAACAACTTTCAGATAAAGGAGGAGGAAGGATCTTACGCACCTGTTTTTTCAAAAGGCAGTTTCTTTCTCCACCAAAGCACTCTGTCAGTCCAGGCTGGGGTTCTGCACTTATCACTTGTATCATAAGCCTCTGAGCCAACGTCGTATTTATATGTTGGTCCAAAATTAATAGTCCCTTCATGGAAGTCTTTAAAAATCTATGAAGACAAATACCATCTCTTTGATCAAATCACAGATGAGGTAGGTGCCATTGTCATGCATCTGCTTCCTTGCAAACAAACAACATTCTGATTTTTAAACAAATTAGTACATTCATGTACCACAAACAAGGGTCTGAAAATGCAACTTTTTTACTCTCTCAAGGAACCAGACCAAACCAAAATACAGGTATTCAAGGAAAGGAGACACACTGCCTTACTTTTCCACTGGATTTTTGCTGTTGTAGTTGATCAAATTCCAAAAGTGTCTTCCAATCTTGACGTTTGAGAAAATAAAACACTTCCTCATATGTTAGATCGATGCGATAGTTAAAATCACCACACCAGAAGACATAGTCATGTGAGAACATGCTCTGCCCCTAGTTTGGAGGTACAGAATACTGTTAATGTTAAATCACATTAATGAAAACACATTTTAAATGCACTGAAATGTAGAACCCAGTTTCTCTGAATTACTAAATACTGGACCTACTTGCCACATTCTATTTGTTAAAATCCACCTTGTGCTAAAATGGAACAGTTCCTTCACTGTCTTTTGCATCCAGCTGAGCTGAATTTGTAAACAAGAGTTTCAGGCTCTGACCCCTGTTTCCTGAAGGTATGTCTAAGCCAGGATCCCTGCTTTATATTCACAATTTGGCTATCATGAATATTAAAAACATACGCTTGTTTCCCTAACACATTTCACCCACATATGTTTACATATTCTAAATATAGCACAAAATGTGCTTCTGCTACCAAGGAATATTCAATGACATAGGCTCTGAGTAAGAACAAGCTCCAAATTTGATCTTATGTGCCTGTTGTAGTTTGGTAAATATATTGAAATAAAACGTCAATGAAAATTCACTCCAGTTCTAAATTTTACATCCCATCCTCTAACCAGTCTTTCTGGTTTTTTTTTCCTTCTTCCTCCTTCCTTTCCTTTAAGCTATAAACCTCTAATACCCAGAGATTTGTAAAGAAATCATACCAGAGCTGCGGCTGTCACAGCACTAGAGGGCACTCTTTCTATGCATTGCAAACAGAGGTACGTTTAGCCATTGCAAATGTAAAGGACATAAAATAGCTAATGAGGTATTAGAAGGAAAAAACTACCATGAGCACAACTTTATGGCCATTTGGAACAGATATTCTATGCAGGACGTCCAGACTTTCAGTGTTAGTTCTTACATAAAACAACTTATTGATACGCTGCATGTGCCAAGCCTCTAAACCTTGCAAACAACAGGAAGTTAAAATTTTATGCTTTGCAACCTAAATGCAATCTTTTGCTGACAAACCAGAATACACAAGCTGGTCCATTCCCTCCTTGGTTTAGGACCTCTCCAGGGAGGTCTGAGAAATAAAATATTGTGGAAATTAAAGCAACCAACATTGAAGGCAGCAAAGGAGAACTGCTACTAAATCTCATGAGTCATCTACTGGCCTGAGGAGACAAGTGTGAAATAAAACACTAGGATGATTGATTTGACACAATTTAGGGAAAAAGTTATTCATACACATACAATAGTGCAGCTAGAGCAGCTAAGCCTACTTGCCACGCACTGAGGAAAGCCAAACAGCCTTCCTTGGAAGTGACACATTTGTAAGGACAAAGTGAAGGGAACAGAAAGTACCGTGTCAGTGGCCGACAACTGGTATGTCATACCCGAGCAGGAGCAGCTAAAGCACTCGTGTTCTGAGTGGCATGGATGGTCTTTTAGGTACTGTTACTAACTAGTGCCAGCAAGTGCTATTGATATTATGCTCTCTAGCCAGACACCTAGATCTTATCCATGAGGCCCTACAGATTTGTCAGTTAAGTTGCACCTTTGTGAATGATAAACTTCAAAACCGTTCAAATGCAAGGACTTTTCAAGCACTGCAGCAACTATATTTTTTGAAAGGGGTAGAACATTTGTAAAGTGAGTGCTATGCTGGGTGTTATCTGGTCTCTTGTGAAATGTTTTACCATTGTCCTACAAGCCCATTCTCCATAGCACTGAGATGACTTCCTTGATATGACCTGTCATCAAAGACAGCCTGAGATCAGCTTTCATAATGCAAAGATACAGCCTTTATCTCAATTTTTTTTTAGCATACATGCACATACACTTACCATTGGGAAGCTGAGTTTCTGTGTGATTTCTTTATAATCTTCATTTCTTTCTTTCACCTGAGTCTGCCCAGCAGTTAAGTGACTGCATATAAAGCAGAAACTAGTACTATAGAACTGAAAACGAATGCTCACTGCCCCTTTATTTCCAGCTTTTCCTCCCATTCCTGTCTTCACAGTGTCTATTGCTACATCCCTATATTAAAAAAAAAGTAAAAATAGAAAGACAAGAGAGTAAAGCGCTGCAGGGACAAACATTCAATCAGGTTTGCCTGCAACATAAAGGAAAAGCCAGTTTAGAATGCCATGTCTTCTCCCCTCCAGAAAACTTGTTGTCTTAGGCTCATCTTTTGGTTTATGATGCTCACATACTTGTGTTTCAAAGTAAATATAATACAACAGCAGAGAAATAAAACTATTTGAATGTATTTCCCTCCTCTATCTCTTCCAAACAGATGAGCAAGACACTATTTCCGAAATATTGGGAATTTCTACAAAACATATTTTTCAAGTTTAAATCTACTATGATCTTTAAAATACAGACAATAACTAAATTTACTATGACATTTCCTTTTGGTTTTGAACATACAGCAATCTGTTTTTCAGGCAGTTAACAATTTCATTAGTGTTACTACATGTTAAAAGCCAACTTCGCAGTTGGTGCCAGATTTTTCAGTCAATTAAAGATCATAACCCATAATTTGTTAAATCAGATGCAATAAAATCAGTGATTATTGGATACAACTATTTACACCTAACTCCTAAAATGAGTTCTGTACTGATGACAAATTGCTTAGGGTCTTTATGTTCTTAATTACATGGCATTTCAGTGTCATGATTAGCATACACTTCACTACAGAAAAATGACTTGGCAAAGCAGACCACCTGCTTGCAGGATATTTTCTCCCAGATGGCCACACTACTCTGAGAATAAAGCATGCCTCTCTGATCAGGTAAGTAAATGACGAGATCATTGCTGTAACCAACCCCAGCACCACACATGCCCTTCCTAGTGAGAAAATGTTACTTTCTAGACATAAGTCAAGCAGATCTGGACTAGAATATTACTTGCTAAAGTAAGAGGCAGGTGGACTAAGTTTTATTTCAGTTACTGTCAGGCATTCATGATTTGAATGATGTAAGACACTACAGCTCTCTTACCTCCCTTCTTGATTTTCTTCTATCCCCACCTTTCTATCTTTTTTCCTCCCTCTTTTTCTCTCTTTTCATGACTGCAGAAAACTACCAGAAGACACCCTCAGGTAAGCAAAAAAGCTTAAGCTTTTTTTTTTTTTTCTGTAAGCACAGAAGCCTTCTTTTGCACTTCTGATAATTTTTGTTTTCCTTTTCTGGGCATGGGAAAAAACTACACAAGCATACAGGCTAGGTTTGATTACACTCACATAACACATAGCAGCACATCAGCATTAACTCATGAAATTTGATTAGCAACATCAAACCCTTCCCTCTTCCTCTGGAATTTCAAAGGATTACATCCAGTTTGACAGCTGCAGCAGAGCCACTGTGCTGTTTTGCTTCTGATTTCCATTTAAGTTAAGCACTTCCTGCTGGATTACTCAAATTTCTTCTAAGCCAGGTGAAAAGTCAAAAACTGGCAGACACAATTCTCCTCTGGACTGCTTCATGACAGCAGAAACATGTAATTTTTTAAAATCATGCTGAAGAAAGATTACTGGGAAGGCAGCAATGCAAGACCACCACAGTTACCTGGATTGCATTACTCTGCTTAGCCTACAGCACTTGATGTTGAACAAGCTCTGCACTGATCTTCTCAGTGGATAAGAGATCAGAAGGAAGAAAGAGGCAGCTTTTGATATTTTGATCACAAAATGCAGTGGCCTATCAGTGCCCTAATATGGGGTATATGGCACTTATTGGACCACTCTAGACTTCAAGGTCAGACAGATGCCCAAAGGTAGTTTTGACTAATTACTTACTTCCTACCTATTTATGCTCACCCTGCACAATTCTTGACCACTGCATTTTAATGCAGATATTCCCTGTGGCTTGGTAATCTTCTAGGGGGAAGAGGAGTTTGGTCAGTCTCCAGGGACATTGGTACTAGCAAGCTGAGGAAACACAGCTCTGAACCCTCCAGACTAGGCACATGGTTCCGGTTCTTGTAACATCTGGGAGAGATAAACATTTAATGGGCCCTAAAAGCTCTTGATTCTATAAAATGTCACATGGCAAAATAGCTCTCTTTCCCTCACTTCCCTTTCCACATTTTCCACCATTCTTTTCAGGTCTGGAACTAGTCCTGTAAAACATGTCCTTCAGGAAGAGGCGCTTGCCTTCATTTGAACTCTTGGACTTACTAGCTCAGGTTATTCCCTTTCCAGAAAGACAGCACCTAAACAAGGTGCTACACCATGATTGTCCAAGCATGCCCGGCTTCTCAGCTCAACCTGAGGAAGATATTGGGGCTGCCTGGCCTTTGTGCTACCCAGCAGGATGGACTCCAGCCTACAGCTGCCGGGAAACATGTCTGTCTCCCACACTGAGCAGAGACCAGAAACCAGTTTTGCACAGACCCCACCAAGCTGAAAAACCAGCCCCACCCTTTGTTGGCTATGTTCCAACAACAGATGTTACTGAAAACACAGGTTGGGTGGGGTGGTTGGGTTTTCTTGTTTTGTTTTTTACCTGATGAAGGGGACATGGTATGGTCGTACAAAGATGAAAAGACAAACACCAACAAGCTGTGCTGATGTCAGCTGAATGTAGCGATGAGTCCTGGAAATTGCTTTTTGAAGCTGCTCTCCCCACATTTTTCTATTTGTTGTACTGGAACAAACATAAAATCATTTAATGGAATCAAAAGAAACCACATGCAGTCAATAAAATGAGCAGATTAACTGTGCCTCAGCTTTACAGACATCCATTAGGCTGTGGAACTGGAAGTGCTGTAGGATGGATGCATGGCAGAATCAGATTAATACCTCCTTGTGAGCCAGTCCAGAGTTAGCAGGGTCAGTGAGCCCAGGCACAGCACACAGAAACAGTTATCCTACTTCTGGACATGAGAGGCTTTTTGTCTACTATGCTTAGAAAGATCCATGCTCACATGATGTTTGATATCCCTATTCACTGGGGATAACTGGAAGCAGATTGTAGTAATCATAGCCATAAAAACAAAAATACATGTCATTCTCATGAATTGTAAGATTTCTTGTGGTCACAGAGAAAAGGAGATCTTCCCTGACTGGGAGATGACTGTAGCTGTAACTTGCCATTCCCAAAACAGAGAACTAACTGGTCAGCCTGATGGATCCACATTGGAAAATTCTTCCAACCCCAATCCAGATTCAAAAGGACCAGTATACACAACAGCCTCCTGTGCATGCTGACATGCCAAGCTCAGGCTTTGCCTTTAACTCCTTCTCTAGCCATAATTTTCATAAACACAATTAGCCACAGAAACATTAATTAATTTTAAAATTCCCACAAGAATGCCAATTATGTTTGTAGTCACTGAGGACATTTTTCCAACATCAGACAGGGATTTAAGGACAAGCATTAAATCAGTGTTAACCATCAGAATTCTTCTCTGCCAATGTTGATTTAAGAGACTTAGAAACATATATTCCACTGTACAGAAGTTCACAGAAAAACAGCACTTCAAACACCTTCCCAGTGCCATTTGTTAATGGCAAACATATTTCCAGCTATGATTACAAGCAACAGGCTTGGAAGAAAGTATTCTGTACATCTGACCATAAAAAAGAACAACTGTGGAGGCTTTTGTTTGGCTGGTTCCTCTGGGGGAGCAGAATGCATTTGGATTGTGATGGTGGGTTTTTTGTTGTTGTTGTTTTGTATTGAGTTGTGGTTTGAGGGTTTATTTTGTTGGTCATTTGGGTTTTTGTGGTTTTTTTTTTTGGGGGGGGGGGGGGGGCGGGGTTGCCTCTGTGTGTTTTGTTGATGGCTTTTCTCTTCTTTGTTGTTGTTTTGTTTTTACCTACCTGGCATTCACAATATTCCCTGCATTTAATTCAACCATCTCTTCAAACCCCACTGCAAATATATCAGGAGGGAAGTTATCATCTGTTGGCAAAAAAAGGAAAAGTCATGCAAGAATTACTATTTTGTTATTTCTTCTAACAACTTGTATTCTGATTTGTTAGAGATCACTCCTGTAGTTCTAGCTTGTGTAACCCCTGCCAAGATATACATATTCATAATTCCTTTAATCTAATCTCACAAAACAACCCCTGCAGTTCCTCTGAATTTTTTTCCTGCTTTTCTCTCACCAGTTGGTCTCCATCTCTCTTGCAGGAAGCAGTTCACTATAGAGCATTTTACTATAGCTGTGTTAAGATGAGAAAATATTCAATGCTCTCTCTCCCTCACCCTACTCATCACTAAAGCCACATCATCTCACTACCCACCATCTTTCATTCACTTGCCATTTTACTCAACATGCTTTTAGTTTTCCACACCAATCCTATGGAACTGCACTTACTGGCCAGACACCAGTATGTCATTTCCATGTCAATGCCTTTAGTAAATTTATCTACCAGTTTAAGGAAGACTTTGAAGATTATTCTTCTTTTTTTTCTGAGATCTTCTTAGATGATCACCCATACCTAAGGTTGGGTTAGATCACTCCAGAGCACAGTGACCCTTTCTTCCCTGGCCTAGGCCTGTGGATAATACACTTGTAAAACACCAAAGATCAAATGCTCTCATATTGTGCAGTATATCAGTCGACCCATCAGGTCTGTCCACTGCCTAAAGGGATTATAATTTTTTTTTTTTGAACTGTCATATGGCCAAGGTAACAGCAACTTAATTCAACATGAAGACCTAAACAGCAGACAACCATAAGAGCCTGAATCAGATATGCCCCAGAAAACATGAATAGAAAAAGAAGTAAAATATGCAGCAACTCTCTGTAGGCACAAGGGTGAAACTAGCACATGACAGCTAGTCTCGTTTACTGGCTTAACACGACAGGCACTGTCACATGTGCATTTCTCATTAATAATTTTTGACATTTGTCTTTGAACACTTACCCATTTGTGTAGGCACTGCATTAACATTACCATGAACACAGACATTTGCATGGTCACACCCTAGCTCTGTTCACATTAGTCAGCTCTCTTCCTGAAGCTGCTTATACCTATCACATTATGACTGCATGTACCATGCAGTCCTGCTTCTCCAGTTGTCTCAGGGGAAGGCCTGGCAAGGCTAGCACATGACAAGCACTCAAGAGATTTTAATATCACAAACACAGCCATGCACTAACACATCTCAGTTGTTCCTGAAACAGACTGGACCAATCACCCACCTAAGATGCTCAGAGTAGAGTGGTCTGCACCTAGTCACGTATCCATGCACCTAAGCACTGGGGGTTCAAACAAGACAACTTGTGCAAGTAGCCAAAGATTTGGGGAATGAATTCCTGAGCTTCAAGTTTAGGCACAGGACTACTCCTTTGATGCCTGCAGGAAGCTAAGTGTTCCACTGTAACAACAAAAGCACAGGTTTTGCCATAGTTTTGTAACCACTCAATTTTTAAATGGCAGAACATTCACTTTTCATTTTCCTTAATAAAATCTGTAGATCAATTGCAATATCTGACTTTGTTCTGCAAGTAAGAAACTCAGCAGCCAATTTAAACAAGCCACAAGTATAAGAGCTTTCTATACTGAAAAGAAAATGAAATTGCCTTCAAAAAAATAAATCTTTTTGTCTGAAGGCTTTGATAATAACATTTCCAGACAATCTCAGAGTTCAGATTGTACAGGTATGTTTAGCTCCAGATAAAAACCAAGTAGACATTCTGAGGGCATGTAAGAATGTAGTTCCCACTTACAATGAAGAACAAAGAACAGAATATGGAAGAAGAAAATGAAATATGGAATGCAGAATAAGCAGATACACCCCATCGTAGCATGAAAAGTTCAAAACAGTCACATGGTATAAACTGAGGAGGTGGTCTGAGTGTCAGAAACTCTTCAGACATGATTCTACTGCTGCAGGAAGGCAGCACAAGCCCACACCCCTAAGAACTGACAGAAAAATGCCATCCAAGATGCACTGCCTTTGGAAAGAACAGCTGGTCAAGTCGTGTGTCCCAATTCACTGTCTCCAGAGATGCCAGCAAATGTTGCTTACATATTTTGACTGTGAAGTATTACCCTGAAATTCAGAAACTCCAGAGAGCTTGGGAGAATCCAGCAGCCAGTCTGTCAGCTCACTGGTACCAAGGATGTTGCTTCGAAACTGCTTCCCCCCATTCACATTCCAGGTCCCTGTGGCAACACGAACACGCTTGAAGCTTGTGAATTCAAACTGACGCTCTGACATGGCCTTCAAAATACTTGGAGTTACTGATAAAAGAGAGGAAAGAGAAAGAGGGTGTGTAAAAGCATGTGCTGTAAAAGGACAGAAAGCATACAAACAGAAACCACACAGAAACAACAGCCAGTGTGAAATAATGACATTAATCTAGCAGCAACAACACAAAAGCTAAGGAATAACTCCAATGGTGATGGCATGAACTACAAGATAGCTGGAGTTGACACCAACAGTTTCTCTTCCAGAAACCAGGCACTCTTTGAAAGCCTTTGAAGGGCCATTCACTCAGTTTCAGCATACATTTTTCTGCACTTCTTCAAGTAATAAGCAAACAAATTATTTTTGCTCCTTTAACCTTTTCAGTCTAGCCTACAGTGATGTTGTGGTTTAACCCCGGCTGGCAACTAAGCACCACACAGTCATTTTCTCTCCTCCCTCCCTCACAGCAGGATGGGGGAAAGAGGTGAAAAAGTAAGAAAACTTATGGGTCGAGATAAAGACAGTTTAATGGGACAGAAAAGGAAGAAAATAATTAAGGTGATAATAGTAATAACAATAATAAAAATTTGAATATACAAAAGAAGTTATGCACAATGCTCACCACTGATGCCCAGTCAGTTCCCGAGCAGCAGCCCCTGGCCAGCTTTCCCCCCAGTTTATATACTGAGCATGATGTCATACATTATGGAATATCCTTTGGTCAGTTGTGATCAGCTGTCCTGGCTGTGTCCCCTCCCAGCTTCTTGTGCCCCTCCAGCCTTCTTGCTGGCAGGGCAGTATAAGAAGCTGAAAAGTTCTTGACTTAGTATCAGCACTACTTAGCAACAACTTAAAAACATTTGTGTGTCATCAACATTATTCTCATACTAAATCCAAAACACAACACTGTACTAGCTACTAGGAAGATAATTAACTCTATCCTAGCCAAAAATAGGACAAGTAATCAAGCATGTCACGTTATGAATTAAGCTGAAGTCCTAAAAAGTTTAGAGTGTGAAGGGAAATGCAGAGACCAGGGTCTTACACGAGTCCAAATCTAGCACTGTTGTGGCTCTCTAGCCTGGTCAGAACTCCTCACAGGAAACTGCTATAATTCACTTATTTTTGGTGAGCACAGAAAATTAGCAGTGCGCTTCTTTTGAGCGACTGAGGTAACCTTAATCTTTAACTATCTGATTTGCATTGGCAGTCAGGCATGGAGAAGCTATCTATAATCTTCCTTGTGGTCCGTATCAGTGAACAGCCCCAGGATTGAAGTGGTGCTGAATGCTTCAAGTCTATCCTACTAATATCTGGTAGCTCTTTAAAGCAAACTGACCACCTGATACTGCTTGTGGGTGCAATTATCCTACATTTTGCAAACAAGTATTTTCTCAGAGAGACATAAGGTGCTTTACCCTAGACGGGTGCAAACCAATACGTGTATGTTGTGGACTATCGGGCTCCGGAGTAAAGCAGGGGATGAACCAACATATCAATGTAATTGTGCTTTTAAAGATCCAAATGCTAAAAGCATGCGCAAACCACAGGCCAAAAGTAAGGAGATAAAAGGTCTGAGCTCAAGAGACATCCTCAAGACAAACTTAGGACCAGGCTGGGAATACAGCCCTAAAATCTTTCCCTCTGGTCCAACTTCTCTAAACTGTCAGAGGAGATCACCATCAAAGAGCAGACATACTTAGAAGTCCAAAACAAAATATGAGAAATAAGCTTAGTGGAATTAAAACACACGGAGCTGTGCTAGGGTCACTTGAAAGCATGGCTTTAAACAATAGATTTGTGCAAAAGTAGCTTGCTTATTGATTTTTTCAAAAGGGTGCAACTGATTATATCTGACAGCTAAAAAGACACAGAAGAAAAGCAAAGGATTTACACCAGCCTCACCCAGCAGTGCAGTGTGGTCCATGAGCATCTTGCCTTTGTCTGCATACTCCTCACTGAAGAAGTCACCCATGAGCAGCAACTTTATGGCTTCCTGCTTTACTGCATCAGAGAAATTTGACTGAATAGTGCGAGACACAGAGCGGGCACCATCCTTGAGCTTCCCAACCTGCATTGAACAGGAATCATTAGTGACCGAATGTCATCACTCAGACACCAAAGAGTAAATCAGACATCTTTCTTTATTTGTGAATAAACAGTTTTGCTGTTTTTTTTACCTTGTTCTTCCCCTCAAGGGCACGACTGCCTGTTGATACTCTGCTCAGATTATGACCGTTAAGAGTCCACATTACTTTGTAGGATTCCACAAAGCGCTCAATTACAGATTTAGAGTTCAATCCAAGGCTCTCTAACTGAGCAAGGAGGATCTGGATTAGGTGTAGAAGGAGAAAAAACAACAGTGACATTGTTCTTAAATGTGTTTTTGCTTTTTATCCTCAGTTTAAGTATTCCAGCCAGTACCATTCTTTATCACAGTACGGGCAAAACAGACTTGTATAAATGAGGCTCATGTCCTCTTTCTTGTCTTTGCCATGGAACAGACCAGGTATGCAGTACATGTTTCCACAAAAGGTCCCCTGACAAACTCACCTCCAGTGCAATGAAGGACTGAACACTATTAGTACGATCCAGGCAGTCCAAGCAATTAATTCGAAAAGTACCTGTCTGCAGACTTTGGTAACCAAACACAAGAGGAGGGAGGAAAAAAAAAGATATATTTTAAAATACTATCTAATCGTAAGTTGATTGAATAAGATCATCAAATATTCAGCCTGAATATTCCCACCCACATTTTGATAATGACAATGTATTCCATTAAATTGTCTTAATTATTTGACTACATCTGCAACATTGTATTAGCAAATCCATGCACCGGTAATTTTGCAGATTCCAAACAATGGAGATGCAGTTAAGCAAACAATCTATTTAGCACCAAGACTACACTTTGTCTCAAAATCATATTTCAAGATGGTCATTTACACTCATGGTCCAAACACAGCAAGAAATCAACCAGGTGGTGCCTTGCTATGCTGGGACAGAGGGGCAGGGACACTCACCGTGGACTTACATTCTCGCCCTCTGTGAAGATTCCAAAGTCTTCCCAATGCAACTTCAGCTGAGGCCTCAGCAAATTTTCCAGTTTCTCAGTTTTCCCACCTTTTGCAAACTTGTAGTCAAAGTTTATCATAGGAGTGTCTGCCGCATGGGAAGAGGCCCATAGCAGTTTCTGTTTAGACAGAGAAAGGAGGAAACCAAATTCTGCTGAAACCACACTGTAGGGATTGATACCAGTGTGCTTTTATCACTACTGAGCTTACTTTTTATCATGTTTTTAATACTGAGAATTTCGTTGGGAATTTTGAAAGGCCAGACATGAAAAAAGCAACTGAAGTCCCCCATTTGTTTTCTTTCTAAAACTAATCTGGATTGTTAGACCCCAATTTTTCGGCAGGGGAACTCAAACTGTAACTGCAAAGTATATTTCGGAATTGCTGCTGTCTGCACCTTGGCTAGTCGTAGCCCTGCAGCAGTGAGCTGCTACCTCTGACCACAAGGGTATATGGCTCTGGGCAAGCTCAGGACCTCCAGGACCCTGATGAGAAGGTTATCCAGAGCTGCTTAAGGTAGAAGAGCATAACGGTGCATAGGTGTATTGTTTTAACCATTCCTGAAGTGCAAACACATGGGAAAACATGGCCTTAAACTTAGGTAGAGGTTGCCTAGGAAGTAAGTAAGAAAAAAATTATATCCCAGGAAACATACCACAAAAAGTGAAAGAAGAGGCACAAATAGTCTCATTATTTCATCTCGAATTTCAATGACCTCACACATATTTCTGTAATCACCACAAATTTCATTATCTGTAATAGATACAACAATAATACATCCTGCTCTCCATGACAAAGCAGAGAAAACTGTTAAACTGTTACATTAACTCTAACTATGCATGTCTTTGTCTATTCCCTTTCTTCCTGCACATTCTCATCCCAAGAGATGGATTCTTTTCTCCACTTATATTATGACACAAACTGAACAAACAATTCTGATATTACATTAAAAGTGTACAGTTGCAGCAGTTACGCCAGTATAATTATATCAAGTAAGCCATTAAGCCTTCCCTGCAGAAACAAATTTAAAGGTGTTGCATGGTTTTGGAGGGGGATGTGCAAAATCTATTTCATTACACTGTTGGTGTAATACTTGGTATCCATTTCTCTCTTGTTGACACCTCAACTTGCCTTTACAGCTGCTGAGGAGAGTATTTACCCACTGCCTTGGTGTAGATCATTGTCAGAGTATTCCTAACTCTATGCTACAGCACTGCTTTTACTGTAAATATAATTACATCTGTTACTGAGAATGATTATGGGAGGAACAGCATTACTGGGAACAGTATTGATTTTTGGTCTGGCAACAGCTGATGCTAAGTTGGTCATTTACAATTTTTCACTTGTTCCTGCTGTATAAATGAATGGTAGTGGTGACATTCTGATCAAGGGAACCCAGCAGCAGTAATTACAAGAATATTTTGAACCAACTCTGATGAAAATGACTAAGACTGCAGCAAGAGCTGGGAGAAAAGGAAGGAATACAAGCAAAGGAAGATGAAGAAACAAAGAAATAAACCAATGACATAAGAGGAGAAAGGCTTTCATTCCAAACCATTCCCCTATAAACTACTTTACTTTTAATTCAAGCCCTTTCAAATCATTTAAGTAAAAATTAACTACATAGTCTCTCCAAACATCCATTTATTAAAACATAAAGGTAAGACCAAGAGGTGGTTGTTTTGAATGGGTACAAAATTTCAGGTTCCTGTGCTGTCAGCCTTAATTTTTTTCAGCTCACAGATTGCTTTCATAATTTATTTTTTTTAAGCGGGATAAATTTTAAAATTTAAACAAAACTGGTCTTTCATTAAAATAAATGAACAAATGCAATGTATTTATTCTAGAGATGCCCTGTTTCTGACTTAACTTCTGGTTGTATGGTACTTGCCATGAACATGGTCTTAAACATCATCAGAGTTTGATAAAATATCAGCATTAAATTTGCAAGAAATGTCAGATTTGTATTCAGAAGTGATTCTCTCTTACCCTTAAATTTCAGTGGTTTTGCAAAATAAACCATAAAAACTATTTTAAAGATAGGGAAAACAGGACATTATAAAGGCTTAGCTGTGTTACGCAGAAATTCAGGAAGAAGCTAAAAACAGAAGCTAGGACCAGACTTCAGTTCTGTACCTTCCTCATTGCCTTGCAAGCCTTAGTCACAAATACTCTCTTTGGCTACATTCTGTACAGAAGAAGACTTTCACTTTGTCAGTTTCCGCTTGGAAAGCTGGGAGTCCTCCCTAGCTCTTTTGGAGGAGGAGGAAATGGTCACACAGAAAAACTGCCAAAACCCTCCAGCCGCTCCTTGTCTCAAGTACATATTTCAACAGAGAGGGAAACAAATCCCTCTATTTAACTACAATGTTCATTTTGCTTAGTTTCACACAGTAAACATTTGATCTCAGACTGTTGTATCATTCTTTACCAATGATAAATACATAACTCTTATTACAGGTGTGTACTTTAACCATTCTTCATATTATTCTTAGGGAGACATACTCCAAAGTACTGGATTTCTAAAGCAACAGGCGTTTCAGAGGCAGACTTCCATTAACCTCCTGCCAGATTCAGACACCTATTTCACTGCTGCAAACCCCACTCCGTGCCAATCTGTGGCTTCACATTAGTTTTAAAAATCTGGCCATGATAATACTGCACTAAATCTCAGTGCAACTTTAATTCTACAATGCCTGACATTCCTGCTTTCAGGTATTAGTTGTGCCTGGGAACATTTAGGGGCCAGGAAAACCTCTCTCCATGCATCACTGTTATCTGGTACTCAGGCAACTAATTCCCATCACAATCAGTGCAAGATAGCTATTTTCCATTAAAATCAGAGCAAGACAGCTGGCTTACGCTCTGTGAGCCAGGGTCAGGGCCTGGCTTCCAAGCAGTTCCAGCAATTCCATCAGGCATCTGACTGCACAGGTGACTATATACTATTACAAAGCTGACTACAATTCATTTTTGCAAATGAGAACTACTCTTAGGTGAATTAAGACAATATTTTTTTTAAAGCCCAATCAAAGAGGATGTGCACAACCGTGTGAAGAAATAAGCAGAAAGGCAGAGCTGGAAATTAAGCCATGAGACTATGAAGCACCACCCTCCCAGTATGTAATATCTAATAAAGAGATAACAGTTTCTTTAGATAAACTATTCACCACCTGCTGGGCCAGAAGGAAAACAGAAGAACATGAAGGCTCAGGGGAAATCAGCAGTTAAAAAAAAAAAAATATATTGCTTTTACCTTAAAAGCTCTGTTGAGCACCTCCTCCCCTCCTCTGCTTCCCAACAGGTTAACGATCACTTGTTTTCCATACTGCTCTTTCAGAAGCATCATATGCCTACAGCAAAAGTAACCATAATCGGTACTAAACAAAAAACCATGTTATGTTGCCTACTACCTTTTTTAAAATACAGAAGTCAAGATCACTGGTTGCTCCATCCAGCAGAAAGTTTCAGCCACAGCAGCTACAGACATCATCCTCAGTTTCCTTGCAATCAGTTATTAAAGTACAAATGGTGAACGGATGCAATTAATGGACACAGTATTCTGTACTGAACTTAAAAAAAGAGGCATCTTATGAAACAGGCCCCAGATCTTTTATGTCACTGTTAGCTTTGCCCTTTGTATTCTCCCACCTCTTGGCTGTCAGCCTGGGAACTACATAGGAAAGACAACAAGAGAAAAAAAAACATATTACACTTTATTCACCTAGCATCTTGCAGGGCTGAGCCTACAAAGAGGTAGCAGCAGCAATGGGGCCTAGGACTCCAGTGCCAAAGCCAGAGCGGCACAAACACACATGCCATAGATGACAAGGTTCAAACATCTCTAAGCTACTGCAACATTGAGACATTCACCCTCAGCTTAATTAAATTAAGCAGGAAGGTTAGTAATCACAGAACTGCTGCACTGGATCAGACCAAAGGTCCTTTCAGCCAAGTGGCCTGACCCAGATTCTTCAGTAAAAACAAAATAGGACAAGCATAACGTGGGTGGGTTTTTCTGGCATCTATGCCATCTCTCAAAACCTGATGCTTAGGGACTCTCAAGCCAAGAGCTTTTACCCAGATGCAGAGGCATCCGTTCTCCTCCCAGTAATTGTTTTTCAGTTGGCATGCATGTGCTACAGGAGTTGTGCTGGCTCATTAGGAAACAGTTGGATCTTAAAGCCATCTTCCATCATGTACTACCATCACTTTGGTAGTACTTAAAAGGAAGCTGGGTAGAAATAGACAAGAAAAATAAAATAAAGTCTCACATAAATGAAAAACTCTTAAATGTTGCAAAGTGACATACAATGGCAAAGCGTCGGGAAAATAGCAAGCACACATCTTCTGGCATGCACCATTAAATCCTATAGCCAGAAACAAGCCCCAAGGAAAATCATGGAAGGAGATAAAAGAAAGAAAAAGTTATCATCATGGCCTTTAAGAAACATGGCTAAATATACTGTCTGGTCATACTGATGTTCCCGATTCTGCAACCAGTTCTCTGTATGCCAGCTCTTCCCATACATTTGCACCTCTCTGATCCCAGCATCAAAATCCTACTTTGACAATATTGCTTCCATACAACAGCTGGAGATTAGATCACCCGCTTAAGTACTGTCAGCAGAGCTGCCTGAGGATTTTCCAGGGAGAGAGGACACAAAAGATCCACTAACAAGATTACCATTCGCTTCCCATAGTGTCTTCTCAACATATTAACCTATCAGATGGTTAAATTTAATAGGCTACATCCAATCTAACATTCTCAGAAAAGCTGTATCAGGTTGTTAAGTTTCAGGATCTTTTTATTTATAAGCAGTTGCTTATTCTTTACCCATTTTCAAAAGACTGTCTTTTGCAGATCTGTAAGCAGAGACATCCATAACCTGATCAAAGCAAAGGCTTTACTGTGCACAATGGAAAGAAGGAACAGTATAATCAAACTCACGTTCATGTTTCTTACAAGAAAGCTACTCTAAGTACCTTGCTGAGGTACTCTCAATCTCTTGGGTAGCACAAGAAGATGCTAAATAAGTTTTTGTTTTCTTTTATATAAAGTTTCTCTGCTGTGGAATGCAAACCTCTTAAGATGGAGCTTCACGGGCACTGGCAGGGCTAGTTACCATGGCACCAGATGACCACAAGACCATGAGTCTCAAAGGCATTTGAATTCGGTTGGATTTAAGAACCTTAAAAAGCTTGGCGAATGTAAGCTAAGACCCTTTGGAGCAGGGACTGGTAATGGTGCATAGTCCCTTTAGGTTCTAATCCCTGTTTGGGTTCTTCAGTGCTGCGAAACTTAACAGTCACAAACGCCATGTTTGTTAACAGTTGTAGTAAATGAAATCAGGGAATTAAGAGGCCTTAACCAAAATCAACATAAACTCTGATTTGCCAAAACCAAGCTAAACCAGAAGCTAATCACATGACCTGGCACTTATGCACTGAAAACTTTCCTCAGCCTGAATTCTTCATGTCTTTTTCAGTCAATGTTCCCACTGATATCCATGGGAGTTTGCCCTTAAAGGACAGCACTTCACAGACATTCAAAGAAATCAAGCTAATGCATGGCTATTTTACAGTTTCCAGCTGACAAGCAGAGTCTTCATGGTTTAGAAAGTTTTACAAGCCAGTCTTTGGCTAAAGCAAAAAAGCATCAGTGTGATAGAATCACACAATACTGACCATAGAATAATAGGCTTATTTCTGTATAGCAGTGGGGAGAAAAACAAGTCCATAATTGAATGGAAGCAGTGTTTACTTTTTAATTACCTGGGTTACAGTAGTAAAGAACACATGTTCTGCGTACTTTAAGTGCAAATTCACATTTGTTGGCTCACAAAGGGTTACAAGGACTTTCCTTTTGCATGTTAGTTGGTATTTCTTAGCTTTTACAGAAACAAGCCAGGAGACCAAATTAATTCAATTACCATTAAAAACAGAAAGGAAAGTGCACAAAAATGAGTGAATAAATTAAGTAAACCCACTTAATAATCCACAACACCTGGGAGACTGGCTGCATGTTTTACATATCTCAGGATTTGCCATGAAGGCATAAAGTAGAATCTTGGTTAAATGCCAGGCTTCTGTGTTATGGCCAAAGTGGAATGAAGCTTACCTGTCAAAGGCAGGAGCATTCGCTTCTAGACCTCTGTTAAGCCTTAGATGATGGGAACCCACCTAAAAGAAAACATTGGAAGAAAAAAAAAAAAAAGAGAAAAATAACTTCTTAAACTGCTAGAGTCCTAAAATCACTAGATGTCTCCCTTATTCCTTCAGAGAAAAACATCTCTTTAACAGCACCAGACACCTACAGCTGACTCCACACACCCACACACATAATATTCTTAATACAAAAATCCACAGCTTTTATTAGACAACAATGCTTTCAACTAGAAGTGAAAACATGATTATCATTAAGCAAAGGAATAACTACACATCTTTTTATGGCCAAACAAACCACATCCCTTCACCAGCTTCCTCTAGCAAATATCCCACACTGCCTCACACGAGTATGCTGTGTGCCCAGCACTCTTTCTGCCCTTCCCTCAGCAGAAAAGGCTGCAGTTATGCCAGTTCCATGGGTTGAGGGTCCCAAGTTCTTTCGTCTTTCATTATTTACACAAACTAAAAAAGCACCAGAACGGTCCTTTCAAAATAGGAAGGAAGAAATCCTGTGTCATCAGTCTAATAGGACTTTTAATACATATGTCAACAACAGGAGCCCTAAACTCCTTTTGAATTACAGCTATTGTTATTACAGTATGAGGGAGCTTCTTTTGTCTCCAAAAACTACACTGCTAATTATTTATAGGATCATGCATTGTTTCCCATACTTCATCATCTTCCTTTGTTTTCACGAGGTTAGTTTCTGCAATTCTTTCTAACATCAGTGCCAGCACATTCACATCCAAGGAGTAAGAGTTATGAGTATTCACCACATAAATGAAAGCTGCATATCTAATCCAGATTAGGCAAAAAGGCAGACTGTGCCCCTAATAAAAAACTGAAAATTCTGTTTAACTAGAGATGCTACCCACTAGCCAAAAATACTTCAGGAAAAGCTCTTTGGCTTCATAACATATGGAACAACAGTGCTGGACACAGCTACATCATGGGCAGGGCATGTGCATGACCATATGGGCAGACCTGCTTTATAAAAAGAAGCAAGTGTGGCAATGGATGGTGCTAACAGACAACGCTACAGACCTTTTAGTCACCTTTCTTTTCCCCTAAATCTAGTAGCTCTGAATAATGCCTAGGTACTAGATTTAATGACAAGAAAGTATCAAACAATCTTTAAAGTATCTAAAAAACCAGTTATTTTATGCATTCTCCCTACTAATGTATACGTAAATAAATGCATACTCATTCCAATTGCTTATGCCTCTGTTAAGAGAATGCAAAGAGTTCTAGGATGATTCTTATTTGATCTTGTAACTGTATATAAAATGTAAGTCACAGATGAAATGTAAGCCGCTAGGCTTGATGAATTTCCTGACAAAACCCTGCATCTTTGCCTTGCAGAAGATCAGATTAGATTATCATCACCCTTTTGACTGATATCCAGCAAACACACCATCCAGACATTATATTTTGTTTCAAGGTAATGTACTCCTAGAGAGTTCTTGGTATTCCTAGATACTCCAAATTTTACTGGGGAGGTCAGTATCATCAAGCCAACCGAGCATTTTAGAAGGAAAGGTTATTCCAAATTAAACTGAAAATGTTATAAAGATACTGCTGCAAGTTTCATCTTAGGACATTAGAACACAATCCCTTACAAACAGTTCCCTGTAGAGGCACACAAACACATGAAAATATTAAACATAACTATAGGCATTTGCCTGATATAGTTCTGTTTATCTGAACATGCAGAATTTCCTGTAAACCTAAAATGGCAGAGCTCAGCATTTTCACTGAATGAACTTTGCAGCTCTTTAAAAAAAACCTCCAACTAAATTCTATTGAAGCTCTGAACTACAAGTAGCAAGAGAGATAAGTAAGGTAGGCTTTTTGATTGTGTGTTTACCTGAAGCCCCAGTTGCTCCCAGAACAGTGGAACAGAACCTCTGATCTGCACAAAGGAAGAGACGTCATCATCCAAGTAAATAGTCTGCAATAAAGGGAAGGAGCTCTGCAGTTAGATCTATCAGTCTGTGACCTCTTCTTAAGGTGACAGATTACGACACCGAACTCAAAGGGTAAAAAAAGTAAACCATGTATCTCGCTGTATCCACTTACTGCTCAGCCACTTTTCCATAGTCTCACAGGCAGTGGAACAAAGCACAACGTATTTGCTTTCATGTCATCACAACAGACTCAATTCACTACTCACCAGAAATAACAAAAAATTTAAAACACTAACACTGCAAAGAAGAAAGGAATCTTTCATCCACAATGAAGACGGATTTGGTCTGCTAGTGGAGACGCTCCGGAAGACCAACCATATACTCTCACTGTGTCTCTCTCAAAACTTAACTGTGCAAAATGTCATTGCTCCTTGTGACCGATGACTGGTAATGCCAGGTGTGGGATAAGCTTATCTCTTGCTTTATTTTCTATTTCTTATTGCACTGCGTGTTGTGCCTTGTCAGTGTCCAAATAAGCCAGCAGCTTTGCCACTCCCATTCTGAGATACAGTGAACAGCACATGATCTACTTCTTTTCGAGGAGGCTTACAGTGAGAGGCTTCAAATTCCCTATTTCCTTCCCTAACCAGACCTTAAACTCTCCCTTAATATATGCTCTTAGGATCACTGCTAACAAGCTGATTTTGAATCAAATCTATGCTACGCACAAAGGTTGACTGTCCCCTTTCCCTTACCCCTCCACCAGCCCCCAAGCAAATGTTACATTATATGTCAACTTAGCACAAAAGGTACTATCTTCAGACCCAGTATGACCACAGAGCAACTGTGCAAAGCCTGGCTCACTCCCCTGACCTATACTTAGTAATGGAATCCTGGCTGTTTTCCATGGAAGATATATGATACACATGATACACATCTCTGTTATCTCATGCATGACAATGAGTCTTCTGCAGCCCTGTGGAGGAATGGTATCCAGGTCATCCAGGTAGCTGCTTCTCTAAGCATATTGTATCACTTAGCACAACTGCTGCCAGCCAGCTAGTAGCTCCCAAAATAGAAAAGAACATGAAAATAGGTTATTCTACAGCTTGAATGTGGTTTGTGCTTTTAGGTTTGCCACTAGAAGTGCTGGCTGGGTGGCCCAGGGGAAGTGCGTTAATTTACATTGACTTCTCATATCTATATAGTCACAACCAGTGTATAATTCTTAGAGCTACACATGTGAAAAGAAGCAGTATATAGCTACACCAGAGAGGTGGGTATTTAAATATTCTGTCACCAGTTTTATCTAACTAATCTTTACAATATTTTTGCAGAGCATTTACAACTATCCCCATTTCACCAAGAAGAAAGATTTAAGAGGCTTTGTCAGGGGCACTGTGTCAGTGTTAGAATGATGGCTAGCCCAGATATAATGCAAAACTGTATGTTTTTATGGTTTTGGCCTCACACTAATGAATTAGGAAACCTTCTCTGTCACACTGCATCCTTGTGCAATCCCTTGCAAGTGAGGGAGTTGCTCAGAGAAGCTTTCTTGCAAGGCCTGCCTCACTTCGAGTAACACGGCTCCTAAAAAACGCTCTCCCAATAAAGTTTTCTAAACATTGATGGTACCTGCGTGCAGGAGCTAATAACCATGGGAACACACTGGTGCGCCTGTTTGCAGTTCTGTGCTCAGAAGCATTTGTCCTGCAGCTGGACTACAGGAGGAGTGAACAGGCACACCTTCTTTCTCTTTATCACATCCTCTCTGGGACAGGTTGCACCAAAATGACTCAGTGACTTCCAAACACTGAATCACAGTCATGGAACTAATTCTAAGGTAAAGCAAATTTCTGTAGCTCCACTGACAGCCTAGCATTATCCTGACTCATACTAAATGAGGATCAGGTCCTGAATCTATGCAAAAAAAGAGTCAAGACTGCCTCACTTCAAAATGTGACAATAGTCATCACCTTAGAGATGAATGAGTTGAACTGAAATATCTAATGATGATGAATATAGAAAAGATTTTTATGAAGTACAATTTGGCCACTCAGGCAGCTTGCCACAGAGGTTCATCTTTCTTTACAACCTTCTGAACATTGCTGTTTCCGTAACTAACTGAAAAATCCAAAGCTCAAGTATTTCTCTTTGACCAGCTCTTTCAGAAGTCCCAGCTGCAAATTCTCCAGACCCACTGATTAAAAGATAGTAATAATAATTCTAATTTTAATACTTGCAGTTTAAAATCTTGCTGAGCTACAGTTTAAATGGAAAGTATTTCATCAGTTACAGACTATGAATATATATACCTGCCTTCTTTATGCCAAATACAAAAGAAAAATACTAATCAAACATTTCTGCCTTTCTGCATTAACAGATGCTCATATTTCCACTTATTAGTGATTCAACATCATAAGAGTTAACAGATGTTAGTTACTACTATCACTCATATTTTCTTTTCATTGGTTTTTACCCACTACCTCTTCTGTTTTTGGCTCTATTAAGCTGTCCTTTTGGAGAACTTAAAAACAACAACAACAAAAAGATCAAACTGTTTGGGAATCATTCCTGTGATCTAAACAGGATGCCCACACCCTGATGTGATGGGCTAGGGGTTCCTCTGCCAGGATGGGGTCTAGTACAGGACTCTCCTATGATGATAGGGCATTTTAAAGAAACTGACATTTTTATGCACATTGCCATGTAGCCTTTGGAAATTCAGATGAGGTTTCTGAACTGGGAGCATGGCCCCTCCAGAGTCATTCACAAGGAAGTTCTTGGCATTAGCACATTTTTTTTTAACTTTCACTTACAGGGCTCATCATCCTGTTCTCTGGAGCAATCCTGTGCTCTTTCACAATCCTCTCACCTCATTCTTGTGATGCAGATGAGTCCAAAATAACTTTCTTCCAAGCTGCACAGAGTTGGGAAAAGACCTAGTGTTTTTAATGAGTGGGAGACTCACCAAAATTACTTTTCTGTCAGTCATTCCTTTCTTAAACAGACTGTACCCATTAAGCATTACAACTATGCAAACCTTCCCTGAATTTCAGCAATACCTACTGTCCTTCATTCACTACTCCAAGGAACACAACCCCTGATCTTGACATTGCCTTCCATTGTATATGCTCCTTGACCTTACACAGTAATCGCAGCAACAGCTTTCCTACCAGCAGACTTGTTAAGTAAGCAGGTTGAAAGACTGAGATTAAGACTTTCCAATTCAGGAATGGACATAAACTGAACACGCATGTACACTATAAAAAACCCATTCGTTAAAATCGTAAATAAGCACTGATAATGCATCCATGTTAAAATTACAGTCACAAATAAAAGCCTTGGGTGATATGATTTAGCGTAAGGTGTCCCTGGGGGTTGGAACTAGATGATCTTAAGGTCCTTTCCAACCCTAACGATTCTATGATTCTATGATTCCAACTTTTGACGCTTATTCAATTCCAAAATTTATGCATGGATAAGTACAGAATTTATTTTCTCATATTCCTCCAAGCCTTGATCATCTTTCACTCACAATATTGTTTTTTTCTACAAGCACATATCTATCCCACTTGTTATTCTAGTTTTGATTTTATTACCCTATCCTCTATCAGTCCGTTTCCCTTATTCTAAGTCACAACACAGAAGATACATTCTATTTCCAGAATTTTCCTGTCCTCCATTTTCCTTAACTCATGGACAAGAAATACATCCAAGAACATTAGACAGTTTTTTCTGTAAACATTCAACAACAATCACATTATATTTTAGACAACGCTTTGTCATTATAGTTGATACAGACTGCTAAATCCCTGTCTTTGGGCTTCATAATACTATTGTGGAACCTTATCTTTGTCTTAGATCCAAAATGACAGCAAGTTGTTGCCTACTTGCCTCAAGGAGAATGTTCATTCCTATCAAATTCTCAAAACACTTGACGACCACTTCATTAATCTCAAAGGATCTAGTTCATAGAACAATCCAATCCAGTTAGCTGGTTGGATTTTCAGACATTTCCTGCAGTTTCCCACCTGACAACATAGTAGCGACTGGATACTTAACCCAAGTGGAGGACCTCTTTGCCTTGATAATAGATTGCTTGTCCTCTGACCTCTGGTGTTAGAATTTGCCATGTTAGACTCTTTTTGTGGTCCCTTTCTCTGACTCCAGGATCAAGCGTGAGAGTTCTGACAGTTCAAAAGGATGTTTCTCAATCCTTCTTTTCTGTTGCATATGGTCAGACCTTGCCCCTGTGACCCAAGGGTCTTTCCTAACAACACAAACTTCCTGCACCGGTACTGCTAGTAAGCTTTTGAGCAAGAAGCAAACTGATACTGCTTCTGAGCAAGAAGTAAACATCCACATCAACCAGCTGGTATTCTAATCCCAGCATGCTATGCCCATTCATCACTTGGAATAATTTATTCACTAATCTCCATCACTCAGCTTCATCAGAAATAAACAACTATTCAGTCACAACTTCAAACAGCAAAATTCTTTACAGACTCGAAGGGCGCACAGAGAAACCATCCATCCATGATAAAACAGATACTCACAAGGCTTGTTTTGTGATTCCCCGCTCTGCCACACAACCCACAAAGAGCATGGATAACAGATGGCCTAAACATATCTCTCCATGAGTTCCTTTAGCCCAGACCACAGGATCCAAGAATATACTTGCCAAAATAATGCACTTTGCCCTGCCTGGGGCCATACTAAAACTTGATCCAGAAAATAAATTAACTACATGATTGCATCCATTCCTCTCCTGGAGAGCTGTCCAACATGGTCTAGGAGTTATTGTGAAATGGATCATTTGTCTTAATCCTCGCCTGACATTTTTTTCTTAAACTGGAAGAAAGGGAAGGTTAATCCAAATTCATGGCATTTCCTTTTAATACCTTGCCAAGGTTTCCATTCTCTTTCTCACACAGTTCCATGAAGGAGAACACAACTGAAACCACTCATTTATCTTTAGTAAATTACAGTTGTTCCCCATAAGTTACATTATAAGATGTGAAGAGTTTAGCCTAACTCTTCAAAGGATAATTGGGAGAGGAGCTGAAATGTAAATACTGACAGGCACGCAAACTAAATGAAGAAAGCGCGCTTGTTTCTCAATCCTATCAGCAGAAAAGAATTAAAAGAATGTGATACAGTCTCAACTTTAAGGGATTAGTAGAGAGGAAGAAAAGGTGAAGAGAAACATAAGCTATTACTGGGAAATATTAGGATTTAAAAACTACTTGAGGATTAACTGCAATACTGCAAGTAGAGAGGTCTACCACCCCATTACAAAATACTGGTAGCAAACCTGGAAGTACATGTTAGAGGGATTTAAAAAAAATAAAAAAATAAATCCCTTTTCCTTTCATATTTTTTTTCCTTAAGTGTTTCCTACCTTTTTTCTTCCTCCTTTTTTCTTTGTAAAGATGCAAGCTAAATGATCAAACATCTGAAAGATCCTCTAGTAGCTTTTTTTCTTTCTTTCTTTTTTTTTTTGAAAAGCAAAAGTGAAGCGAGATATTTAACTGTCTCCTCCCCTTCTTCTCAAACACGGTGAGTCACAGCAGTTAAGTGAGCCCACAAAAAATGACTCACTGCAGAGCTAAAATGCCACAAGGCTAACTCAGTGGGAGAAAAAAGCATACCATCTATGCATAAGAGAGTTGCTTGAAGATAAGACTAATTGTTTCTCCCTTTCCTAAAAACAGAGAAATGTTAGAAGTAATTCCTACAAAAGGAGGAAAAGTCCTGGCTTTTCAGAATCCTTGGGTCTATTTATCCATGAAAGTGCACAGCCAGCATGCCATTATACTGTACAGGCTGCAGTAAATGAAAACACAATGTTATTCAGCCAAGATATTACTTCATAAGCAATTAGTCAGTAGTCTACTATGAAAGTAGGAGAGAGTTTATTCTAGGACTCTTCCTTGGTAAGTGGATGGCAGCTTAAACTGGATCTCAGGCATCCCAGTGGTTAGCCCAACATTGCTTCCTTAGGACGTGCAGCTTGGTAAAACTAGTGTTTATCACCATTAGCAACAGCAACCTTCTTTTTTCCTTTAAAAACAAAAATCAAAACCACACAATCCTTTAAAAATGCAAACCCTTGTTAAAATTTTGAACCTACTAGAGCCTTTCACCCTATAACCATTCCACTCTTCTGCTTTTGCTTACCCAGTTGCAAAACACACAAAAACCTTCAGTCCTCCCACTTCACAGCAGCCCCTGGCTGAACAGGAACAAAGCACAGCAATTCCTATAACAGCCTGATCCAGGCCCAGCTAAGGCAGGCATTAGCAACTAAGTATTGCTTTGCCGCTCACCAGGAGCCAATCCTCAGGTTCTCTGCTGGGATGCAAAAGCCGTCTTATTTTTCATGCTAATCATTTGCAACATACTGTACTTCAGAAACATAATTAAATAGAATGAGTTACTTCTGACCCAACTAGTAAGCAGTATACCAGAAGTATTTCCCATAATTAGACAACTGCTAAGTGCAGTGCAGCAAACGTGACACTGATCTGAAAGAAAGCTGATAACCCTTTCTAACATTTTATTTTCTCTGCATTTCAGCAAGAGAACATTCTTCAAATCAGTAGTGCAAATGTACTTTGCACTAATGCTCATGAGAAGGCACTCAACTAAAATAGCAGACTGTACCATGTTATTACCTAAAATGGCATATGTCCCTTCTTCTGTTCCCAGATTCCAGGGGAAATTACACTTTTTGTTGGGCAGATCTGCATCTGCTCTCCCAGTGCACTGACAGACTTTCTAGAAAGATGTAGATGCTGCAGAACTTGCCTTGCAGTTGCTTTGGACAGAGGCACAAAAGAGAATTATTAGCAGAGAATTCAGAGGCTGACATTAGACCCAAGCACAGCAGAGGAAGAGTCTGGCATCCTATCAGCAGAACTTGTGGAAGCCTGAACGCTAAGTGGAAGGCTGCCATGCCAGCCAACTGAAAATGCAGGCAAACCATGAAAAGAAAGGACATGAGCAAAGAGCCACCCACAATCCCGATGAGAACTCTGACCACTGTGCAAGAAATTCACATGTTGTGCATGCTTTGAGCATGTCTTGGGGATCAAGCCTCACCAGCAGGCTGGGGAATACCAGTCTGCAATTCCTCCTCCTGCATTCTGCTGAGCAATGCTGCATTGTATCAAGTCCAAGTTGTCCTCAGACAGAACTGGGTGAAGAGGTTAAAGCTGCACCAGCAAGGCAACATCTTAAGAGGAAATTTTGAAAGCACCCAAACATTGCTGAATTTTGGACAAAGAGGAGACTGAAGGCATGCCTGCTGCAAGCAGTAGGGTAATGGAAAGGGTAGCACAACTGTAAGCTGCTACACTTACACAATGCCAGGAGGAAACGCTAGTGCTGAAGTATGGGCCTTTTGAGAGGAGTATGCCCCCCTCAGCAGTCAGGCACAGTCCTACAGTGACACAGCTATAACTCTCCTGGAACAAGTAATGACACAGAGAGCTTAAGTATCTCTATGCTACGCTCACTGTGTCATGTAAAGATGTCTCTCCAGCCTCCCCTTATGAGCATCACATAAGCAATTTATTTTCATTGTATGTGCACCTGCATGTATATGACACATACATCACATATAAAAACAATCTACACTACATACGGTTTTGCGGATCTGCCCAGAAGACAATGAAAACAATGCAATTTAAGGAACAGATCCTTGTCCATTTTTGAAAACTACTACCAGCCAATTATCCATTTTGCTTACAGAGATATCCTTTTCTGTATGATGATTATGACTGCAAGTAATTACTCCTTCTAGTCAAAAAAGAAAAAGTGATTACATGTGAATAAGAAAGTGTTCATTTCAGCTGGCGCTGAAGATCTCAGATTCTCCAGGGTCCACTGCTTTTTGTTCACTTTCAAGGTAGTAAGCTAAACCATGTGTAATAAAACCAACTGACTGTTATGTTGTTAGGCTGTGCCAATTAAGGCAGCCTGCTGAATGCATTTCACTCATATATTTTGTCTCAACATCGACTGGAAATAAAATTTTTATCATTTATGTGTAACTGGGTCATACCACTTCTCACTGGAGAGAATCACCCACAAAGCAAACGGGAATATAAAGCAAAGTTTCTTCCAAAATGAGTTGTACTGAAATTTGCTTAACTGAGAAAATAGTGGGTTTTCTTCATTTACTCTACTAACTGAAGGTGATTTGACTCCCAGCTAACACAGCTCCTTTGCTGTGCAGCTTCCTCTTAACTAGAATGATATATTTGAGCTCTAATTCTTCACCACAGCAAGTAATAAACTACCTACATTCTATAAATGTTGTCCTCACTGGTCTGCTAAAGTCCTGTGAGACAGGAAGTTAAAAATCATCCTCATTTTATAGCTGAAAATAAAATTGTACAAAGAAGTGATGGCTTCAATCCAATAAGGCAGACTTGAAGGACAAATATTTATCACAAGATTTTGTATGATTCTAAGTGACTTCATTAGAAACAAAAGCAAATCCCAAGCTCTAGTCTTTGCTGAAAATCACCCCCAGCATCTCTAACCAAATTCTTTTACATTAGTGTAGATACAGTTGTGCCACTGCAGCGCAAGAGACTTTCAATGGCTAATGCAGCAAACCTGATGGAATGACCTAACAGTGTTATTTAAAATGAACGAAACAGAAATGAAGCATAGAGACCATGACTTTATAGAAAATCTTTCAAACTAGTTCTTCTCCAATATTCTATAGCATGGAAAACACTATGAATTTTAGAAAAATGCACTTTAAAATGTCTGCAGAATGCATAAAAGTGTGACACAGGTTATGGAACAGATTTGAAAACATTCTTGTTTAATATATGAGCCTCACGACTGATAACTAGTAAGTTTCATAAGGCTGAGAAACTCACTGTTACACATGCTGATTTCACATGTATTAACACACAGAGCTCTCTGAAAGGTTTAAAACCCCATGTCTGTATTTCACTACACTATCAAAAAGCCAGACTTCTGCATTCAGGAAAGAAAACATAAGTATTAGTGAAAACCGTGTGCATGGAAAGTCAGAAACCCAGAAAAAGAACAGATTGCAAAGAAATGCTGAATGGGCACGAACAAATGTAACAGCATTTTAAACATTCTTGGAAAAAACACATGCTGAGCTCCTCTAATTCTTGTTGGAATTTCTGCCCCACTTAAACTTGAGTGGAATGAATTATTCAAAGCTAGTGGATACATGCACTTACCTGCTCTGTCTCAACAAAGTTGGACACATGTCCGTCATCATTGACCCCTCGAATGTGAAACCGGACACCAGCTCGCTCACAGCTGATGCGAGAGATGAGGCAGGCTTTTGCCTTCTTGTGGGAAGCATAAACAGTGCGAATGTCCACTACCCCACACATCACTTTCAGTAACCAGTCAGAGCAGTTCACCTGGTAGTGTTTGAAGGGCACGTGCAATAGCTGGTTCCTGAAAGGTTCAACAACATACAGACACATTACTGAATAAACTAAGACAGACAGCCGTGGGTGTCACCCCACAATAATCACTAACTGAAGCAATTAATGTTTTGTGACCCCTTTTCTGTTGTACCTTTATCCAAAACCACAAAATATCAGAAAGAAATCCTTGTGAACTACTACAGTGGACAGAACATGGCAAACTGTAATAGCACAGCTACCACCAAGGTGCTGTCCTTACATCTTGTACCTCTCTCTCATAAATTCAGATGCAAATGTCACCTCTTTCAGCTCCAGAAATACACTGAAATTTAGTAATCTTTTTGATAAATGACAGTGCTGTCAAGCTAATTACTTTCTGAATAATGTTGCCTGGACCACTTTAGCGTACACTATAGGTTGAAGAGCCATTTTAAAATCCACGAGGATTTTCAGGAAAATTTTTCCAAGCAGAAACTGGACCCATAAGTCAACAGAGATATTGCAAAAAGCGCTACTAAAATTAAGAGGAATGTCTGTTTTAACCTTCAATTTATTTTAAGATCAACAACCGAAGAAACCTATCATGCCTGGTTAACAGTGACGCTAGCCTCTTCTATTATGATGGTTTTCCAAAATATGCCTTTAGTCACAGATGAGGGCCAAGAAAATCCCTTTTATGATCATATATTGCTCAGTAATACAAGAGTTATTACATCTAGCAAAACCCCTGAAGAATTGTTCTTCTAGAGTACAGCATTTCTCTGAAAAAGGTGCAAGTAATTCTTACCTTTAAAAACTAAATATGTAACTGAAAAAGCAGCTCTAAAAAGATTTTGTATCTCTTCCACCTCCTTCCCCTAGCTGTACTCACAGACTCACTCAGATTAATTCCAGCAGATGATTTTTGTTGTTGCAGTGCATTTAACAGGCACTTTGTGCTGCCTGTAACTTAGGACATTGGACACTTTTCATTGTGTAACTATTTATTCCATTGTTTACTTCTCTAAAGAACCTACTTTTCGGCCCAATATCTCCAATATCGCATAATTGCCTCAAGATAAATTTTCTAAATGTGATGTTGTCACCATCCCTGTTCTATAACATAAGAATGGAATCTCCCTAACGGCTACTTCTAGATTAGCCAGAACAGCAAAGAGAGAAAGTTCAAACACCTATCTTACAAGAAAAGAAGTTTCAACAGACAGAACAGGTAAAAAGAGCTGCTTTAAAGGTTGTTTCTTTATTAAGGGATACTGCCATCCTAGGATTTTCATCACGGGAATATAGTTCATTTGTGCCACGTGTCTGACTTGACATGCTTGGTGAACTCTTTGAGAGGGATGCATAATTAGCACAGGTGAAAGAAAGTTTTATGTATCTCTCTTCTGAGTTAAACTCAAAACACTAGATCTTACAAGCCAAAACCGCATCATGGCTAGAAAGCTTAGCCAGGATGAACTGCTCTCTCATTTTTATTTATCATCCACTATGAACTTTTTTTTTTCTTATTTAATGTTCACCTACTTTGGACCACAGGACTCATCACACATTCTAGCAGCAGACCCGCATTTAACTCTGCCACTTATTTTCCACCTACATCATATAACCCGCGTGTATTTCCAGTACAACTATGCTTCCTGTGTGACTATCTTTTTGTTTAAAAAGAAAAAAAAAAGAGGGTATGGAAATTCAAGCATTCTGCCAGAACTGTAAAGCAAAAAAACTGAATTAAATCAATGTTGAACCCACCTAGGGAAGACAAAAGCCAGCATTGTGTGTTCTCCTTTCTACCCAACTGATACTTACCGCAACAAAAAATACTGTTTCTTTGCTTTGTAAGCACAAGAAAGTAAGAAGTACAGAGCAGTGTATCACAGGAGTTTTCTTCCATGCAACACATTTACATTGCGCTGTAAACATATTAATATTGATGTTTTCAACATAAAAACTGAGGCATATTACTGAAACATTAAACTACAGATTTTCAGTGCACACACTTTTAAGAAATACAAGATACGTCAGCACAGCTGATGGGACTGAGGAACAGTTCAAGTGCAGGTTTCTATTAGATAACTTTTAAAGCAAATTATTATAAAGAACTGCAGGGGAAACTATTCTTGACATCTAGAGACACGTTTCTGTAGTGTGAGCAGTACATCCTGTGTTTCCTTAAAAACACAAAATGTTGTCATTACAACTGCATTTCACTATCAGATTAATTTTAATTAAAGAGAAGTTACACATTTGATCCAGGTTTACCCTGAATTCACTAAGGCCACATGCCCTCTAAAATGACATGACAATGAGATGAAACAAGGTGTACCTGAAATGCATTTATTTCCCTTTAAGAATGTCTGACCAATAAGATACAGGTAAGGATAACAGAAGACTTTGGTATAACATGCAGTACTAACCAGAAGAACGAGTTACCAGATTCATAGTGGTTATCACCCTGCTTCTGAGCCCGCACAGTCAGGTCAAAGTTTGAGCCTGCATTAGGCCAGGAGAAATAGAACATCCCAGAGTTCAGGATTTTCTTCAAGGCAGTAACGCGCTCCTCTTCCTTGGTTTCTTCCTGGAGAGGACAGAAATCTGTTGCAGTAATTTTGTAAACTTCAGCATCCAGGATTTTTCCCACCGATGTACAGCCTGTCACCAGGACCAGAAAGTGCAGCCGGGCATTACCTAGAAGGTGAGGGACAGTTACAAAAGGGTTACAGGTGAACACAGGCTATGCCATTTTGCATCAGTCCTGTCATATGCAGTGCTGACAGGGCTCCAGCAGAGGCCAGTATCTTTGCTTCGGAAGAAAACAAATACAAAAAATGGGCTATTTACATGTCTGGATTCCTTTTGACTGCAGGTAAGTAAGTGCAATTGCATAATACTCCACACTACTTCTACACTCTCATCATTTGCTGCATTAGACTGCTTTCCCACGTACTTTATGAAGTGCAACGAGCTTGGTGTTGGGACACTACTCAAAAATCAAATTTTGACACCCTAGAGAACATACGTTTTCATTGGATATGATTGAAGGGAAAGGTAAAAGACTCATCACATATGAGATAACGTGTATTCTTTGCTATGCATTTTTCAACTGACTTCTGAATTTTAAAGATATGAAGCATTCGGGTTTCTTACTGGCTTCAGCCGAACCTGGGCATGTCCAGCCATTCAGAAAGTTTCAGTATTATGAATTCTTTAAATTTTCCTTTTTATGTCACAGAAGAGTGGACACGATTAGATGACACCCTCAATTATCACTAGAAAAATTCCAGCTGTGAAACAAAGTGTGTAATGGGTTGGAACTAGAAGGTCTCTAAGGTCTTTTGGATCTTCCAACCCAAACAATTCTATGATTCAGGGCCTGAAAACTAAAAGATAAATTTTGAAGCTTCAGAACACCTCTGTAATCAGATCTCTCATACACAGTAGGATTTCAACTGTTGCTTGTTCTTGCTGAAATGATAATTAAGAAACAGTAGAACAATTGCTCTGAAAACACTGGTTTTGCTCAGAAAAACTGTTTGATTCACTTAAATTGGTCTCTAATGGAGACAATGTAATCCTATTCACTCCAATTAGTAAGAGAAGGTGGGAATAAGCCAAGATTTATTGTTCTAGCATAGCAGAAACAGCAGCTGACCTGCCAAGAGCAAGCTAAGTAGTACCCTTTGTAGTACAGCCCTTCAACCCTCCACAGTGGCCCACTGTCTGAAAATGCAGACCAACTTTCACACACCAACTAGGTTTTTTTTCTGAAGCAGGGGAGTCCTTACTCCCAGATTATAGGCTGGCTACAGAAACTTGAGTTAAGGGTTTTGGCCTTTTCAAGCAATTGCTAGGGAAAATCCCATGGGCAAGGCTGCTTGAAGGTAAAGGGGCCCAAGATAGTTGGTTGACATTCAAGGACTGCTTTTTCCGTGCTCAAGATAGGAGCATCCCGACACGCAGGAAGTCAAGGAAGAGGGCCAAGAGACCTGCGTGGCTAAATAGGGAATTGCTGGGTATGCTCAAGTGGAAGAGGAGAGTTTACAGGTCATGGAAGGAGGGGCTGGCCACTTGGGAGGAATATAAGGCTGCTGCTAGAGGATGTAGGAAGACAGCTAGGAGGACTAAGGCATCCTTAGAATTAAACCTGGCAAGAAGGGTCAAGGACAGCAAAAAGAGCTTCTTCAAATACATGGCAGACAAAACTAACCAGAGGCAATGTAGGCCCACTGATGAACGGGATGGGTGCCCTGGTGACAGAAGATAAAGAGATGGCAGAGTTACTGAATGCCTTCTTTGTCTCTGTCTACTCTGCTGCGGGCAGTCCTGAAGAGCCCTGTACCCCTGAGACCTTAGATGAAGTCAGGTCGACAGAGCGGTTTGCCTTAGTCGATGAGGAATGGGTTAGAGACCAGTTGAGCAATCTGGACATCCATAAATCCATGGGTCCAGATGGGATGCACCTGCGGGTGCTGAGGGAACTGGCAGAAGTCATTGCTAGACCACTCTCCATCATCTTTACCAAGTCTTGAGAAACGGGAGAGGTGCCTGAGGACTGGAGGAAAGCAAATGTCACTCCAGTCTTCAAAAAGGGCAAGAAAAAGGACCCGGGTAACTATAGACCGGTCAGCCTCACCTCCATCCCTGGGAAAGTGATGGAACACCTTATCCTTGGTACCATCTTAAGGCATATCAAGGATAAGAAGGTTATGAGGGGCAGTCAACATGGCTTCACCAGGGGGAAATCATGTTTGACCAATCTCTTAGCCTTTTATGAGGAAATAACACAGTGGATGGATGATGGCAGAGCGGTGGATGTGGTCTACCTTGACCTCAGCAAAGCATTTGACACAGTCTCCCACAGCATCCTCACGGCTAAAATGAGGAAGTGTGGACTGGATGATCAGGTAGTGAGGTGGACTGCGAACTGGCTGAAGGAGAGAAGCCAGAGAGTTGTAGTCTATGGGGCTGAGTCTAGTTGGAGGCCTGTAACTAGTGGAGTGCCTCAAGGGTCAGTACTGGGACCGGTATTATTTAATATATTCATCAATGATTTAGATGAGGGAATTGAGTGTACTATCAGCAAGTTTGCTGATGACACTAAGCTGGGAGGAGTGGCTGATACGCCAGAAGGCTGTGCTGCCATCCAGCGAGACCTGGACAGGCTGGAGAGTTGGGCAGGGAGTAACTTGATGAAATATAACAAGGGAAAGTGTAGAGTCCTGCATCTGGGCAGGAACAACCCCAGGTTCCAGTATAGGTTGGGGAATGACCTGTTAGAGAGCAGTGTAGGGGAGAGGGACCTGGGGGTCCTAGTGGACGACAGGATGACCATGAGCCAACACTGTGCCCTTGTGGCTAAGAAGGCCAATGGCATCCTGGGGTGTATTAGAAGGGCGGTGGTTAGTAGGTCGAGAGAGGTCCTCCTTCCCCTCTACTGTGCCCTGGTGAGACCGCATCTGGAGTATTGTGTCCAGTTCTGGGCCCCTCAGTTCAAGAAGGACAGGGAGCTGCTGGAGAGAGTCCAGTGCAGAGCAACGAAGATGATTAGGGGAGTGGAACATCTCCCTTATGAAGAAAGACTGAGGGAGCTGGGTCTCTATAGTTTGGAGAAGAGGAGACTGAGGGGTGACCTTATAAGTGTCTATAAATATATAAAGGGGGAGTGTCACGAGGATGGAGCCAGGCTCTACTCAGTGGCAAACAATGATAGGACAAGGGGTAATGGGTACAAACTGGAACACAAGAGGTTCCACTTAAACTTGAGAAGAAACTTCTTCTCAGTGAGGGTGACGGAACACTGGAACAGGCTGCCCAGGGAGGTTGTGGAGTCTCCTTCCCTGGAGACATTCAAAACCCGCCTGGACGCATTCCTGTGTAACATTATCTAGGTGTTCCTGCTCCGGCAGGGGGATTGGACTAGATGATCTTTCGAGGTCCCTTCCAATCTCTAACATACTGTGATACTGTGTTTCTCAGCAAGGCCAGAATATTTGCGTAGGCACATGGGACTGGAATGGAAGGACAAGGTGGGAGATCGGCTCTTACTCATTCTGTTCTGCTGACTCCAGTTTTGCATAAAGGCCAGTGTAGGTGGTATTTACTAAAAAGCTCTCTTCGTCACATTTCTTTCTCTAACAAGGGTATGCTGTGTTCTCCTTCTTGAGTGCTTCTAAGAAGTACGTTTCCTGTAGTTTTCTAGACGACACCATAGTGGAGAGTTAGAAATACATAAAACCTGACAGCTTATTCCTCCTTTGCACATGAGTGTGCATAATTATAAAGGATTAAGAATAGGAGACACATCAGTTACCACCATGTTAGTTCATACCTGACTAAATACTGCCTTGCAGCCTCCAGAAGGGGTTAGGAGGAGCTGGCTGTCTCCTAGAATAGCTAATAGTTTCTGTGAAACCACGAAAACTGAACAGGCCTAAGTAAATGTCACTTATGAGACTCTGGAAGCAATGTAAACAAACAGTATTAATATGGCTCACTATCAGCTTCAGTGACAGAAAACCAGTAGTGGCACACTCGGAGCTGTCTGACTGGGATGCTGAGACAAAAAATATAAACACTTTCATTGGCTCCACTGGCACTGGATCTAAACTAAACAATTCTCTAGTTTAAGATGGCAATTAGTAGGACTAAAGCATGACAAAAAAAGCCAATCAAAATCTACATGGTTTTGCCTCACCTAGAAACTTGCTGTCCCTTAGCAGAGACTCTAGACTCTTTTTACTACCTCCTGCACTCATAGAATCATGGAAGAGTTATGGTTGGAAAGGACCTTAAGATCACCAAGTTTCAAACCCCCTGCCATGGGCAGGGACACCTTGCACTCATCCCCAAAAAGGCAGACACATCTACACATGCAGGCATCCAGCATCTCCACTCCCCCAAATCCCTAGCTAATAGGCTCAGAAATAGTAATCACAGCTAACAAGCTACTGCATTGTCCCTAAAGCATCAGAAGACTAACAGCTTTCTGAAGCTGTAATACTCTACCCTGACATTGTGCAGTTAACCCCACATGAGAGTTGGGTTTGTTCTGCCTGGAAAAGAGATGGCTCTGGGAGACCTTAACTGCAACCTTTCAACATATAAAGGGGCCTTACAAGGAAGATGGAGAGAGACTTTTCACCAGGGCCTGTAATGACAAGACAAGGGACAACGGTTTTAAACTGAAAGAGGGTAGGTTTAGATTGGATATAAGGAAGACATTTTTTACAGTGAAAGCGGTGAGACACTGGAACAAGTTGCCCAGAGAAGCTGTGGCTGCCCCATCCCTGGAAGTCTTCAAGGCCAGGCGGGAGGGGACTTTGAGCAACCTGTGAATTGAGCAATCTAGTAAAGCTGTCCCTGCCCACAGCAGGGGGGTTTGACTAGATGATCTTTAAGGTCCCTTCCAACCCAAACCATCCTATGATTCTATACACATGGAATAAATTTCTTTACAGCAGTCCAAATCATGGAACAACCTTCAGGCACTTTTCAAGATAGCTTTCAAAAGAGGCAGGATGGCAAAGGAGTTCACAGAGCCCAGAAAGTTTGAGTAAAAGGAAGAGACAGATTTAAGCTACAACAGAGCTAGTCTGCTTTGCTGCTTTGTCCTCCTAGACTGCTCTGTGAGCTGAGGTGGTCTTCATATCAACTCTGAAATATCTGATTCGCTTAAATCCCTCAGTATG